AGGGAATTCAACCTTCAGGCAACAAGACAACAGAGACTAACTGAACTGTGTCAATTTGGGGAGAACAAAATCTTGACTCCCCCAATTGAGCCTGGAAAGAAAGAATGGAAGATGGGAAGTCCTACCAAGGGGGAAGTTACTCTTTGTTACCCCTTGCACTACTCTCCGCCTTTATTAACCTTTCAACTCTTTAATTATAATTTTGCTACAGTAAAGCATTAAGAAAAAAGTTAAGAAATTTTCTTAATTAATCCAGTGTTATTATGCTAATTAAAAGCAATAGGAAAATGTTTAGAACTTTGGTAATAATATTATCTAAACAAAGCACTTTTTAAAAGGACAGAAACAGCTGTCCAGACCAGCTCGTCACACTTATAAAGGCTACAGGAAACCTCAATCAGCTCCCTGTGTGTCAGAGCCTTTAAAGGCTAAAGAAAACCTCATGCAGTCCCATCTGTCTCAGAGCATTTGAAGGCTATAGGAAACCTCATGCAGCCCCATCTGTCTCATAGCTTTTATAGGCTATAGGAAACCTCATGCAGCCCCATCTGTCTCAAAGCCTTTGAAGGCTATAGGAAAACTCATTTAGCTCGCTGTGTCTCAGAAAATTTGAAGGCTTTATGAAATCTCATGCAGCCCCATTTGTCTCAGAGCTTGTGAAGGCTACAGGAAACTTCATGCAGCCCCATCTGTCTCAGAGCATTTGAAGGCTATGGGTGAGCTCATGCAGCCCCATCTGTCTCAGAGCTTGTGAAGGCTATAGGCAAGCCCATGCAGCCCCATCTGTCTCAGAGCATTTGAAGGCTATGGGTGAGCTCATGCAGCCCCATCTGTCTCAGAGCTTGTGAAGGCTATAGGTAGCTCATGCAGCCCCATCTGTCTCAGAGCTTGTGAAGGCTATAGGTAAGCTCATGCATCCCCGTGTCTCAGAGCTTGTGGAGGCTGTAGGCAAGCCCATGCAGCCCCATTTGTCTCAGAGCTTGTGAAGGCTATAGGTAAGCTCATGCATCCCCGTGTCTCAGAGCTTGTGAAGGCTGTAGGCAAGCCCATGCAGCCCCATCTGTCTCAGAGCCTTTGAAGGCTATAGGCAAGCCCATGAAGCCCCATCTGTCTCAGAGCCTTTGAAGGCTATAAGCAAGCCCATGCAGCCCCATCTGTCTCAGAGCTTGTGAAGGCTGTAGGCAATCCCATGAAGCCCCATCTGTCTCAGAGCTTGTGAAGGCTAAAGGCAAGCCCATGCAGCCCCATCTGTCTCAGAGCCTTTGAAGGCTGTAGGCAAGCCCATGAAGCCCCATCTGTCTCAGAGCCTTTGAAGGCTATAGGCAAGCCCATGAAGCCCCATCTGTCTCAGAGCCTTTGAAGGCTATAAGCAAGCGCATGCAGCCCCATCTGTCTCAGAGCCTTTGAAGGCTGTAGGCAACCCCATGAAGCCCCATCTGTCTCAGAGCTTGTGAAGGCTATAGGCAAGCCCATGCAGCCCCATCTGTCTCAGAGCTTGTGAAGGCTGTAGGCAACCCCATGAAGCCCCATCTGTCTCAGAGCTTGTGAAGGCTACAGGCAAGCCCATGAAGCCCCATCTGTCTCAGAGCCTTTGAAGGCTGTAGGCAAGCCCATGCAGCTCCATCTGTCTCAGAGACTTTGAAGGCTATAGGCAAGCCCATGCAGCCTTATGTATCTCAGAGCTAGTGAAGGCTACAGGAAATTACGCAGCCCCACGTGTCTTAGATCCTGTGAGGGCTTTAGGAAATCTCATGCAGCCTCATCTGCCGCAGAACTTAAAACGCCTAAGATATTCTTAAAACAATATGTGAAGTGGAACTGAAGAGAAGACTTCAAAAATTACAGACCCGAGCATGTTGTAATGCGAGTAAAGAAAGAATGTAAAAAAAAAAAAAGCCTATACCACATTCATTTTGTTTGATTATAGAAGGCACATTTCAAGGTAAGGAAAAAATTCGAGAACGCGGTGACAACTAGAAACATTTATGGAAAGAGGACAGGGTGAAATAAAAGAGGTGGCTTTATGGCTTGGCCACGTAAAAGCGTCAGGACAAGAGCACCGATTCTACCGATAGTCTAGGATGGTCAATTATGACAGTCTATGCTTTTTCGGCGTGGCATAAAATGGTGATACTTTCAGAGAGAGAGGGGCGCGGGAAGATTGTGTCCCCATTGAAAAGGGGACGATGAGCTAAACAGGAAAACACAGGACTCTTATCTGTATTGGAATAGAACTAATAAGGAGTGACAAGTCTGCAGTGAAGCTGGAAACGCGACAAATATATTTGAAATAAAGACAGTGAAACATACCAGTACTTTCATAAGCCTTGCTAGATAGCGTTTCCATCCGTGTATCAAAGAGAGATCCAGATGTGAGGCCAAATTTAGATTCACTGATGCCTACAATGTTAAGAGTAACAGAGTCAAGTGTTACGATAAACTTTGGCATAGTAACTGGGTAAGAGATATGTTTAAATGGCAACGACGAAACACTGAATATTGATTACTTCTCTGGTATTTTCTCAACACATGACGCCACTCAAGCAGAATTTTGCTCCTGAGTTTGTGCGGCTCAAGGATTCTCCCCGCTCCTAATGAAATGCTTGCTGTGATTGTTTTTCGACATTTGCTTCGTTAATATAAATTTCTGTAACCTATGGTGCCATTTCAATGGGTTGAAATGAATTCTGTCCGTATTCCATAGTCGTGGATTTTAAGCTGTACGATATACATGGCCAATGAGACACCTTTTTTTGGGGGGTGCCTAGTTGACCATGTATCTTAGTTAGTTAGTTAGTTATTCCTCTTGTGCCAAAGATGGCGCATAGGGCAGAGGTCATAGCTTTCCACGTCTGTCGGTTCTTTGCCACTTGATGTAGGTCTTGAGTGCGACTGAGACCTATGGTTGAGCTCTCCCTTGTGATGGTTCTACGGAGAGTTTCTTTTGGTCTTCCCTGTTTTCTTCTACCCTCTGGTGACCATATGAAGGCTTGGTGGGGAAGTCTCTGAATATCCATTCTAAGTACGTGACCGATGTAATTCCAGCGACGCATTCTAATAAAATCAGACACATATTTTTGTTTTGTTTCCTGTCTTATAGATGTATTGGACCTAAAGTCCGACCAGTGAATATTCAATAGCTTTCGGAGGCATCTATTCTCGAAAGCGACTAGTTTCTTATCGATTGATACTGATGATTTCCAACTCTCACAACCATAAGTTAGCACTGGGATCACACAGGAATTGAAGACCTTAAGTTTCGTGTTGTTGCTGAGTGATCTTGACTTCCAAATGTTTGACAGTTTGTTAAAGGCACTTGATGCTAACGCGATTCGAGTCGTTATTTCTGATGTTGTATCTCCCGTAGAGGTTATCTTGCTCCCTAAGTATGTGAAGCTGGTGATTTTTTCAAGAACAATATCCTTTAGTTTGATGTCTTTCGACTCGTTGGTAAGATCGATGATTTTCGTTTTGGCTGCGTTGACCTGAAGGCCGATTTGGCTTGAAATATTCTGGAGGCGGTCCATTTTTTCCTGAGCTTCTATTTGTGTTGTGCTCAGGAGTGCTAGGTCGTCAGCAAAGTCAAGATCTTCGAGAACTTTGTCGACCCATTTGATGCCTAGATGTGTGTCCTGTGTGCATTTGCGCATGACCCAATCGAGTGCTATTCCGAAAAGCATCGGTGACAAGACACATCCTTGTTTCACGCCTGTTTCTACTGGGAACCAATCAGAGTTACCAGATTCCGTTCTAACAAGGCAGCGGGAATCGGTGTAGAAGGCCTTTATAATATTGACATATTTATCTTGGAAACCATAGATTGTGAGTAGCTTCCAGAGTGTAGGGCGGTGTAGGCTGTCAAAGGCCTTCTGAAAATCAACAAAGTTGATGATGAGTTGGGATTGAAACTCTACTGACTCTTCTACGATGGTCCTGAGTGTGAATATATGGTCGATGCATGACCGATTCGGTCTGAATCCTGCTTGTTCTTCTCGGAGTCTTGCATCTATTGGCTTTTTCAGTCTCTGCATTAGCATGCTGCAGAACAGTTTTCCTGGTACGGAGAGTAGGGTGATACCACGCCAGTTGTTGCAGTCTGCTAAATCACCTTTTTTGGGCAGTTTGAATATAACACCTTCTTTCCACTGTTGCGGTGGGGATTCATTTAGCCAAACATCATTGAACAGCTGTAGCAAATATTGTAAGGTGTTTTCGTCTGCTGCCTTTAACATTTCAGCTGAGATTTCATCTGCGCCAGTAGCCTTGTTCTTCTTTAGTTTTTTTATTGCTGATTTAAGTTCTAACATTGTGAATGGTTCACAGGTAGCATCTAGAGGTGGCATAGCTTCTTCTTCGTCTATATTGGGAACAGTGTCGGGTTGTGGCCTATTTAATATTTCTCTGAAATGTTCTGCCCATCGTTGCTTTTGTTGTATCTTAGTGCACTTGTATTCATGGCGAGGCGCAGATCCGTCTGGAGGTGACAGGTTCAATTCCCGGCACGGTCTAGTGTGTTCTTCTATCTTTCTACTTCTTTCTATGAGTGCCGTTCACAATACTTTCTGTTACTTGATTAATTCATAATGAAATGCAACAACACATGCTCCCCGGAGCACGTGACAAGACCAGCCAATTGACGGAGGGTACGTGAAGTTCCGCTCCAACATTCTGTGTACCTCTATCGGTTCGAGATCCCCAGCCCCCTTCTCAACAATGGATATACATTTTCTGGATTAATAGTGTGTGATTTTCGTCGAGACTGCTGTTCTTTTTCTGGGAATTAAAATACAAATTGTAAGTGATGACCAGGTGAATTATTCCAAGTTAAATGTTGGACGCGTCTCCGGTCCTAGCAGGAAGCCATGTTTGTTTATCATGTGACTAGAATTGACCAATAGGAAGTGCTAGTTTTGAACTGGTTGCCTCTGCCTGCCGGACGGCTACAAGTCAATGTTAGTGTTTATCATGGCAATCTAACTAATGCTATGGTCGCCAAAAGCCATCCGGTACTACCAGGATATCAGCAGACCGTCCAACGTTTCAATAAAGGGTATTTTACCATTATTTTCATATGACGTCCACTGCGTGATGAGTAACTTTGTCACAAACATGTCGTTCCTGGCCTGTTTTATAAGACCTCTCCGCCATGGTGGATTGTCATAAATTGACGGACTAAAACTCTTGGTTTTGCTTGAATTTGGACAGTTTTACATACACGGTATGTATTTTTAAAAGAAATACATTAGAGTGTTTGGAGAAGTGTTATCGTATTGTTTAGTGGGGCTCAAGAAGTATTTTAAGAAGTACAGCGCAACTCTCCCAAGACGCAAGAATGAGCAGAAGAAAGAATGGTGATTTAGGATTACAAAATGGCTGCAGCGAAAATTTTTTAGTGTAACCGCAAACTTGCGATATTAAAATTACCCCCCCCCCCTGGTTTGAAAACGTCGCCTACGAATTTTCGAAAATAAGAAACAGGCGTAATGTGCTGTAGAACATGACGCGTGTGGCATCACAGCGCCAGCTGTTGTTTCCTGCCTACCTCACAGTTCTGAGTAAACGTTTGAGTTCTGCCCTTGGTAGTTCTGCCCCATTTCTGAGTTGTAGAACTCTTTCTGGCTGTAGGAGTCGGCTGTTTAAACTGTTCGCCTCGGAGACATGGGAACACACGTTTTAGCAGTGTGTTTTCTCACAACATTCTTGTCTGTTCTACATCAGCTCACAATCACATTGTCATTAAACACTTTGGCTCTCCTCCAAACGGCGTCATGATATTATGGCGGCCATACAATATCCTTACGGGGCTCAGCTCTATTAAAAATATGCCGGGTCCTTATAACGAAACAAATGCTCTAACAGGGTCTCATCGATGTTACCTACGGACCTGTTTCTGTGACTGTGCCTCACCGCCGACCGTATCCCCTGCGGCGCAGATGGGGGCTAAACTAGATGGCTGGAACTCACGAGCAGCAGCTACAGTATCGCCTGCTTCCTCCAATTAATTTGCTCGTGAGTGCCAGGCACCTAGTTTAGCCCCCCATCTGCGCGCAGCGGCGCGGGGGATACGCTGGGCGGTGAGTATAATCGCCTTTTACGCATGCCGAAAACCATACCAGTTTATCGGTCATTACTCGATACAGTCGGCAGGTCTGACATCTACCGCTGCTAAATCCTCAATCAGAAGAACAGTATTGCTAATCTGCGTGGGAGCGCGTGGTCTACCCGCCATATCGCTTTCATCGTCTGTAATGTCTCGACATTGTCAACGGTTGCTATTATCGTCTGCTACTATCATCAGCAATGTTGCGTCTGTTAAGAGTGTCAAGTAATCGTAGTTTTGCCGCAATTAGCTCCTTGGCAGAAAGTCCACATTTTATATATGCCTGAGCCCTGTAAGGATATTTTTGGATATTGTATGGCCGCCATAATATTATGACGCCGTTCGGAGGAGAGCCAACACAGTACACAGTAAACAGTACACCCAAGTATTTAGTTGCACTCACAAAAGACAGTGCATACACGTACACAGGTTTCGGCTATCTTCCGAATAACGGTCCCAAATTGAGGCCGAAAATATACCCTAATAGGGCCTCAGTCCATTGCGAACTCCCAGTGACTTATATATTGCACACTTCCGGCGACTACCGCCACCGCCTAGAGTATCTCAACGCCGCGCGTGGATTGGGGCTAAACAAGATGGCTACCGCATCTCCTGCTGCTTCCTTCACTTTATTTGCTCCTGAGTCCCAGCCATCTAGTTTTGCGCCAATCCACGTCGCTTGTAGCAGTGTGGGAGATACTCTCGGCTGTGGCAATATAGTCCCCGGAAGTCCGCAATTGACACGTGACTGAGAACCTGTTAGGGTATATTTTCGGCCTCGATAATTTGGGACCGTTATTGGAAAGATAGCCAAAGTTTCAAACCGCCCACCACTAGCAAATGGTGCTGTCAGCATGCTAGCGCCAATGTCGTTTGGAGGTGTGCGCATATACTTCTAGACATTTGCACGAAGCATAGTGGTCAAGCTGTTTGCCTTGCCGTCTGAACGTCATGGGTTCGTTTTACGGCTGCACCCTTCAGATAATTCAAGTCCCAAGGAACGCATCTTACCTTTATAGGTTTCTACCTAGAAGCCCAGTGAACGCATCTTACCTTTATAGGTTCCTACCTAGAAGCCCAGTGAACGCATCTTACCTTCATAGGTTCCTACCTAGAAGCCCAAGGAACGCATCTTACCTTCATAGGTTCCTACCTAGAAACCCAGTGAACGCATGATGCTCCGATTTTATTACTTTCTTTACTACCCCCTGGGCCTGTGATGCTACACCCCCTGGGACTCTGAGAGTTAACAAGTACAGTTTTTATTGAGATCCCCTGGGAGCCAGAACTAGGGAGTTCGCTCTCTTGGTAGGCAGCTAGCTGTTCTGCGGAAAGACAGAGCCGTATGGGATTAAACCAGGTGCAATAAAGTCAATCCTCTCGACTTGAACCACCAAACTAATTATCAGTGACCAATACAACAAAGTTAGCAGTCAGCATGGGGCCAGAGCAAAGCCCTTTTCTTTCCCTCATGACATTTTTAGGTCAGTTTTTTTGTTACGTTGAGAGTATCAGCACAGCTGTAATCTATTGTCATCACTTGAATCTGGCTGGTATCAGTTTCGTGTGGAAGTGGATCATGTGGCCAAGGGAATATTCTTGTAATCTCAAAGTAGTAGTTATGGAAGAAATTAAGCTTTTCCGCTTGGATTGACATTCAACTGAAAGCAGATAGTGTATCACCAAATATGATTTGTTTAAAAGCCTAAGCAATTTACAAAATTTGTCACAGAACTTACCATCTACTGCCAGTAGCAAGGTTGGTTTGGGAACATAAAAAAAAAACCCAGTTTCCACAGTTTTGTTAGAAGTGACAAAAGAGCAGATACACTCAACTTTATGTGGACACGTTAGAGCAGAGCTTGGGTAACCAGGCAGTTCTTGTGAGAACATGTTGATTGATTTCCCTTTAGATGTCATGAAAAATTGTGTTTCCAGTTGCCATCAAGTCAGGAACGAATAAAGTTTGTTAGTCAAAGTCACACTTGTGATAATTAACAGCAACAGCCTGGTTGCTCTTTGTTTATCTTGAAGATTACTCACTACAAGATTAATGTGGTGTCAAACATTGAAACAGGCACAGATGTATTATTGATATATTTTGTAATCTCTTCTATGCTTGTTCCCCCACCACTACCTGAAATGAGACAGTATCTACACGTCTACTTACAACCCTTGTACAGTTTCAATGCACCCCAAATCTGACTGAGGTACCCAAACCCTTGTACAGTTTCAATGCACTCCAAATCTGACTGAGGTACCCAAACCCTTGTACAGTTTCAATGCACTCCAAATCTGACTGAGGTACCCAAACCCTTGTACAGTTTCAATGCACTCCAAATCTGACTGAGGTACCCAAACCCTTGTACAGTTTCAATGCACCCCAAATCTGACTGAGGTACCCAGCACCCTGACATATACTGCTGGAAAAATAATTCATGCATAACTAATGAACAAAACATCTATGGTCATCATTTTGACATTCTAGATCTTTGTAATCTAAAGAGCAAAATTCTTCTAATTGCACACAAAGATAAATTAGAATTCAACCAATGAATTAAGTTCTTTTGCATCTGGGTCATTGATAGTTATTTTTAGGCGCATAGGCTTTCCCATCAGAATGGTATGTGGCCTCCTGTGGTGTCCATTAGCAACTGGCATGGAAGCAATCTGATGTGGTCCTGTAAAAATGACTGCCCCCACTAACTGAGGTGCCTGGAGGAGACCATGATTGCCTGAAGCAATGACTCGTCAAACATATTTATGCACTTTACCCCACAAGTGCTCAGTCGGACTCATGTCTGCAGACAGGGAAGGGTGAGAATGTTATAGTCAAAAACTGCGTGGTCAACTGTGCTCAGTGAGGTCCTGAGTTGTTCTATTGAACAGCATCCCAAAATGGAAGGGCTTTGCATGGAGGAGTTTCCTGGACAAATCACTGGGAATTCCCGTTTCTGGTGTGCACCAATAGACCCCTTGCATTGTAGCTGATCATACCCCACACCGCTGCACCCCCACCACTTTATCTGCACAATTTTGGGCTAAACATTCATTTCCCATACAGAAGACCCTCAGCTGTCTGTCATGACACTGAAACACAAATAGACTCTTCACTGGACAAGACACATCTGCATTGATTGTCAGTAGCCCAAGGACAATGATGAATGGCCCAAAGAAGTTGATTTGATGATGGAGGTGCGTAAGGAAAGCGAGGGCATCATACCCAAAGTCCAGCTTCCTGCTGTCTAATAGGGACAGTTTGATCAGACACCTGCCATCCTGGTAGCAGTGACTGGCAGTTGAGGAAGTTGTTCACCTGTTCCTGGGGTGAAAAAGCTGAATAAAGTGATCCTCTGCTGCTGCCGTCACTGAAGTTGTTCACTGTGGTGCTTTTCAGTAGAGCCAAGGGCCAAAGTCAACTGATGGTTCTCTCATACACGTTTAGATGACAGGAAACCTAACCTTTAAATACAGTCGGCCAATAACAACGTTCTTTAAATTTAACGCTAGAGACGCCATACATGCCTTTTTTTTTGGGTGTTTCATAATTTGTTAGTTGCTTAGTCATGGAGATTGTTCACACCAAATTGTGTTGCTGTCTTGTGCATGTATCATCAGTAATGCTAAAAAAAAAGGGCTTCATAAACACAACTGACTACTGCGTTGTATGGATTACACAAATTCACAGTTCACATTACATGTCCATTAGACACTACACATTTGGGTTTGCTTGTTACACACCCAAGTACAATATTTCACTTGCATACTTATAGACATGCTCCACTAGATAACTTAGTATTGTTTTTTTTTTACTGTATATTTTCCTTTCTGTCTTCTCTTACTCTTTTGCTGTCTTGTCCCCTGTATCTTCTGTCTTCCTCCAATCCTCTCTTCATTTTCTGCTTTCCTCCCCCACGATCTCCCGTCTCCTTTCTACTCTTTCATTTACACCCCCCCCCCCTTTTTTTTTGTCTTTCTGTATGTTCTTTCTTCTTCCTCCCTCCTTTCCCTTTGTTTCTCCTTCCTTTTTATCATCTCTCCTCCAGGTGAAACAAGGATGTATTTATCTCCTGTTATTTAGTATAACTATTGACTAGGTAATTTAAAATTATGTTGAAAACACCAGCATTGACTAGGTAATCACATAGTTGGAAATCAAGTTTGCTAATGATAATGTTTTACTAAGTAAAAGACCACACACAGAGAAAAACATGATTTAGCATCACAATTGGACAAAACACTCAAGTTATTTAAAATTAAAGACACCGGTAATAGATTAATCAGATGTAACACTAGAGACTCAAAGAATTAAATGAACAGATCAATTTATTTGAAACAGTCAAGGAGATCCACAGACAGAAATTTTGACAACACATTGGTAAGGCATCAACAGATTTTGATAGCCTGAACAAAAGGAAGTCTTGCGGGGCAGCAACGGTTATAATTGTGCTATATTGGGTACATCCTGAAAATAAACCAGCAGAAAATCTCCAGGGAGGCACTACACTGGAAAGTACAATTGCAGCAAGTGAGGACATCCTTAAGAAACCCTGTAATGAATGTTGATGAAAGAGGTTGAAGGTTCTGAACAGAATGGAGGAATTGACTGGCACAACTTATGATGAACTTTTCATTGCTTATTCTGATAAAATGGAATTGTATAACATCTTCCATCTGTTCTATTACCCTGTCGCCCACACATGGAGACATAATAATTGACCTACCTGTTAATTATTGGTTTACTTTAAATAAAGCAAACTGCAATTGGTTTAGTGTGTGGGCACTAGAATGCATTTAGTTTCTCTCTCTCTCTCTCTCTCTCTCTCTCTCTCTCTCTATCTCTCTCTCCCTCCCTCCCCCCCCTCTTCTCAATCCCTGCCTGGCCTAGCCTAGAGTATTATATATGTGTGTTTCTGTTAGGGCTGTACCGAACAGTGATTTTCAATATTTGGCCGAATACGAATAGTGTATCATCGTCATATTGTGCCTATCCACAATCTGCTATCTCCTGCAGTATGTATTAGTTCATTTGCTGACACACCTCCATGCCATGCAACAAGACTGTCAAGCATCTTCTCTCATTGTCTTTCTCTATCCATCCTTCCACAGATCTTTCCAATGGTCACCACATGTTTTATTTTCCCTCTTCTCATAACATGGCCAAAAAATGATGTCTCATTCTGATGTCTCAAAATATTTTGTAAAATCATCATAATGCGGCTTGAAAAAGGAGTAGATAAATGCCTACGAGTGGAACAAGCAGGATTCAGAAAGGGCAGAGGAACAACTGAGCACATCTTCGCCATACATAACATTTTAGAACAATGCAACGAATGGCAGAAAAGTATATATATTAATTTTGTGGACTTTGAGAAAGCATTTGACAGCGTCCATAGAGACGGTCTGTGGAAAATGTTACGACATTATGAAATTCCAGAAAAAATAGTCAACATAATTGCTCTCTTCTATAAAGACTTTTCCTGCAGTATAAAAAATTACAATACATCTTTCCCAGTAAAGACGGGTGTAAGACAGGGATGTGAGGGATGTGTTATGTCATCTCTCCTCTTCAACCTTGTGATTTATTGAATGCTAAAGAACACAGTAGACAGGACGTTAAGAGGCATACGATGGACTCCATTCACCATGCTTGAGGACCTTGATTTTGCAGATGATATAGCACTCCTATCACATAAACATGAACATATACAAGAGGAAAGTAACAGACTAAACTGCACAGCAGAAATGGTGGGACTGAGTATAAATACAAAGAAAACTAAGATCATGACAAACAGTCCAAACCAACAACCAGTGACCATAAATAACCAATCACTTGAAAATGTAGAACATTTCACATATCTTGGCAGTGTGGTGTCCCTACTGGGAGGGACAGAGGAAGACATACAGTCACGTCTGAACAAAGCTAGAGCTGCTTTTTGAAGGATGAGGCAAATCTGGAAATCCAACAATTACTGCAGAGGAACGAAACTCCGACTCTACAAGAGCATCATTTTGCCAGTTCTTCTTTATGGAGCAGAATGCTGGAGAATGACCAAAAAGGATGCACACAAGCTGTCCACCTTCCACCACACATGTCTACGTAGAATTATCAAAATTTTCTGGCCAGATACAATCTCAGACACTAAACTACTTCAAGCCACAAACCAAGAAACTTTAGACAGTATGATTACCAAGAGAAGATGGAAATGGCTTGGCCACGTTATGTGAATGACTTCTGATATACCTGCCAAAACAGCTCTCACATGGACACCAGAGGGAAAGAGAAAACAGGGGCACCCAAAAACAACATGGAGACGAACGATGGAAAGTGACCTGAGTGCGGCATCTTTGACATGGAAAACTGCACTGAAGATTGCACAGGACAGGAAAGCATGGAAAGTCCTCTCTGAAGCCTCATGTGCCACTAGGCATAACGAGAACTGATATTCTGATGTCTGTGATTAGTTGTCTTCGGGCACCCGCCTCTTTTAAAACCTCTAGGTTGCTTTTTTGTGTGGCTGTCCAGAGTATTTTGAGCATTGTTCTGTAAAACCACATCTCTGAAGCCTCCAGAAATTATCTGGCCTGCCTGCCGATTGTCCAGGACTCACAACGCAGTGCCTTTAAATATAAATGCTTACTTGACGAGGCTAACGGTTACTTTTGTACAGACCACATTTTCCACTTTAAAATTTCTGCCAAAATGTAATCAAAACCTTACTTATCCGCTGCACCTTCATGAATACAGATGGAGGATCGGTCGAGATAAACACAAAGAGTTTTTACCACGCTGCGGTTGGCATTTTATGTAGTATGTATGGTACACTTTGAGTGTGAACTTTTTGACAGTGGCAAGGAAAGAAAAATTAAAATTTTAACTTTTATCTTCATGCTTTTTTAAAAAAAATAATGTCACAATTTATAGCCGACTTTTCTTGATTTTCGCCCCGGCACCCCTGGCATACGCACCCAGTTTGAGAGCCTCTGCTGTAATGCCTCGGTCGAGTCAGCAGGCAAAGACCTTGACAACTGCTGTACCACGCAACCGAGTCGCAGTTTCCCTCTCTACGACAGACTTAGACAACAGCAACTTATGTGTAAATGAGAGGTTATTTCAGTCCTTCGTAATGTATGCAGAAACGGGTGTAAGGTAACCGCTATTCGTATTCGACCAAATACCGAATAGTTTAGGTCCCCTATACGGTTACGAAGCGAATATTCGGTACAGCCCTAGTTTCTGTACATTTATACATACATGTATGTATACATGTGCACAAATCAAGCACTAGTTGTGCACCACACAACTTTGTCTGTGCCAGTATACTTTGATTACTCTATGAAAATAGTTGGCCAATTCTGGCTTCCTTTTCAAGTCAGTGCCTGGGTAGTTCTGTGTCAGATAATTTGAGGAAGCAATAGGTGGGACTTAAACGAGGTGCCACTGATGTTATCTGGTGTGGTTAAAGAATGTCGGCACATGACAGCAGTCTCACATGTCAGCACATTTCTGGAAACATTGTATATTTAGAAGCTCCAGTTCCCTACCGCACTGCTACCATCAGGTAAGCCAGACTAGGGGTGCCGGTCATGCTTTATTGTCCTTCCTGGGCTGTCATGTTAACTCATGTTTGTTTCCCATGTGGTCAGCTTCTGGCTAGCTGACTGGCCCATGGAGATTAGGTCAAGTTGTCTGGGAGAAGTGTTATAGCCTCTAGTTCAGCTGAACTTACTGACTGCACAGGGATGCTTCCTTGTCTGGCACTTTACTGTACATAGACCAGTTGCGGGTAGCCTGTGGACACATGAGTAACCTAACTCTAGGGTATGAAACATAATTTTTATTTATATACTGTCATTCACAGTTTGAAGGAGGTTGCCATGGCTGAACAAGGCTCCACTATAGCATCCAATGCTGCAGATGTAAGTATATATTGTTTTGAACCTCTGTCATGACTGTGAGTATATTTATGTATGTGGATGTGTGTATGGTAGTCTGTAGTAGTAGTCTTAGTTTCAGCTTCATAGCAAATGGGTCACCCCATCTTTGCTCCGCTCCTATGCTAATGAAAAACACAGAATGTTTATTACAGTCCCTTATGGAAAGATTGACAGACAGCTGTCTCAGCATATCTAGCATACACTCGCATATGTGTATATGTATAAATGCATGTATGGATATGTATGTATGTATGTGGGTGTATTCATTTTACCACCTGTGCTTTTGTTTTTTCTTTATATTCATAATAATGCATATTATTAAATGAACATGGTTAATTGATAAATTATAACTATTGTGTGAAAGATGAATGTAAGATAGGCCTGCGCCCCCTGTGACCTTTTGTTGACTTCCCTTATGAGGCTACATGTCCAAACTCTTGACACTATACAGATCAGTGTACAATATTACTTGACTCTACATCAGGACTATTCAACCGGCAGATCAGATACAGCCCACGGATCATTGCCCATTGTATTGTATAATTGATCTTTCTGGCCAGTGAGTAAACCTAGCTGAAAAGCCCTGCTCACAGCAAAGATGTATTTGATGTTTGTAGCCTGACATTTTGGGTCTTTGCTGGTCAGACAGGTGTGACAATTGTCCAGTCTCGGATCAATAAATCAACTGAGACGGTCAATCCAGGGAACTGATCCATCCACCAGGATGCCTCAGCTGAGGGACCAGTATTGCCACATATCACCGGAGAGTTACCACCTCACGGACCAGCTAGCCTACATCATTAGACAGTCGTAGTCACCCTGGCCAGTCTCTGACACAACACAACATAGATAGCTAAGCACAACATAGATAGCTAAGTAGCACTAGACTGCAGTTTGGACACTCATGTGTTAGTTGGTCAATATCCATACAGGTGCAGTGTGTATCAGTAGTTCCCTTACTAAGTGTAACAGGAACATCCCTATACTGGGTATGACGTCCTTGCTTGTTGTAGCTTGATGTGCCCACTCCGTGTGTGTGTGTGTGTGACACCACATTTTGTCTCTGTCTGTAGGTCTATGACTTCAATAACCATGAGGATGGAAACAGTGGCAATGAGCAACCACCACCTCCCCTCTCCAAACAGAAAGGAAGACGTGGCCGCAACACTAACCAGCTCCAGTTCATGCTGAAGACAGTGGTGAAGGCAGTCTGGAAGCATCAGTTTGCCTGGCCCTTCCATCAGCCTGTAGATGCCGTCAAGATGCAGCTACATGTAAGTGGGGACTTCATCACAGGTTGTCAGTAATTATCTGGGGCTAGAGACAGCAACATGTGAGTGGGGACTTCATCACAGGTTGTCAGTGATTATCTGGGGCTAGAGACAGCAACATGTAAGTGAGGACTTCATCACAGGTTGTCAGTGGGGGCTAGAGAGACAGCAACATGTGAGTGAGGACTTCATCACAGGTTGTCAGTGATTATCTGGGGCTAGAGACAGCAACATGTAAGTGGGGACTTCATCACAGGTTGTCAGTGATTATCTGGGGCTAGAGACAGCACAGCTTCATCATGTGATTATCTGGGGCTAGAGTGGGGACTTCATCACAGGTTGTCAGTAATTATCTGGGGCTAGAGACAGCAAACAGTGTGAGGTGGGGACTTCATCTGGGGCTAGAGACAGGTTGTCAGTGATTATCTGGGGCTAGAGACAGCAGCATGTAAGTGAGACTTTATCACAGGTTGTCAGTGATTATCTGGGACTAGAGACAGCAGCACTCATCAGAGACAGTGTCAGTTATTTATCTGGGGCTAGAGACAGCAACAGGTGTGAGTGGGACTTTTGTCATCACAGGTTGTGATTATCAGTGACAGCAACATGTGAGTGAGGACTACATCACAGGTTGTCAGTGATTATCTGGGGCTAGAGATAGCAACATGTAAGTGAGGACTTCATCACAGGTTGTCAGTGATTATTTGGGGCTAGAGACAGCAACATGTAAGTGAGGACTTCATCACAGGTTGTCAGTAATTATCTGGGGCTAGAGACAGCAACATGTAAGTGGGGACTTCATCACAGGTTGTTAGTGATTATCATCTGGGGATTGAGCTGAATGATCCAGATACTGACTGAAGAGCCAAAGTTTCTAGATAGAGGAAGAAGGCTTACTGCCAGAACAGTCTAAATTATTTTCTAATAAAACCCCAAAATCACTAGCCTTTAAACCCAGGTCCTTTGAGAGAGAAAGGTTTCTATATCTTGTGACTGATGTCCCGCCAGCATTTAACCTACCTACCAAGCAGTTTTGTGTCATTTTACATTTTCTTTTTCTTCTTGGAATGCCTCGCGGTCGCAGTTTATCAAAAATAACATTTTTCTCAAGTTATCCTGTTATTGTCTCCCCTCCAAACACTATTTGTTGTTGTTGTGTGCAGGACTACCACAAGATCATCAAGACCCCCATGGACCTGGGAACTATCAAGAAGCGCCTGGAGACATACTACTACAACTCAGCCAAAGAAGCCATGCAGGACTTCAACACCATGTTTACCAACTGTTACGTCTACAACAAACCAGGCGATGTGAGTAACTAACATGCTGTCATCTTCTCTAGTCTTCTTTTATGTCTGCCTTGTTGACTCTGTCAGAGTAGAGTGTAGAGTTTATAAAAACCTGTCCTCTGCAATATACCAAAGTGTGTTTATGAAATGCCAGTGTATAGTTTATAATTTTCCCTCTGAAATACCACAATGTATAGTTTAGAACCTGCCCTGTTTTTCCCATATGATATACCTTCTTCACGTTCACTCGCTGTTACTCTGGTGGAAAGTTCTGGTTGTTTGTCCACTTTTGGACTTAAGGCCATGCTAACCTTTCGAAACTAAATTGTACACTAATTTCTACGTTCTGGTATGGTGTAGAGTTTTATATCACTTAACATTTCTTATCTACCTAATTTTAACAAATGTAGCATATATTTTTAGACAATTGTTGTGGCTTTCCAACTGCTGCACAAAAACTAAATCTTACTTTCAAACGCTCTTGTCTTTGCATAGGTAATACTGTAGATCCCTATACTGGCTATGATGAAATAAGTGTACAGTTTCAGTTTTATCAGACTAGCATTCTTTTTTTTTTTTTCAAGAAAAATATATCACAGACTGAGAAACTGAGAACATGGAGGAAAAGGGATTTTTCATATTTGATTAAACTAGCAAAATTATTTTCATGATTTTATTTTATATAGAAGAGACCGGTTTTTGATATCACAGCATCATTAGCACTCTTTGGAATTCTGAGTTTTTGCTGAAACATTACTAAGCAGTTTAGGGTCATGCAGCCTTTCGGTAAAATTGGCAAAAGATATTTCTGTAGCTTGTCACAGTTGAGCCATGTGTGTAACATCTTGAAATGAGCACTGAATAAAACACCAAGATTGCTGTCCACTGGAGCACATTTCATGCTGTGGATACAATGAAGCCATAACACTGTTCCTCGTAGACTTTACAGTTGTATTGTCTCTGTTGTAATCAATTGTCAGCTTACGGATGGCCTATTGTGTAAGTGGACCTTTACCACGTCTACTCAAGGTCACGCTTGCTTTTGGCAGTCAGCAACAACATTACGGAGTGCTGTTTTAAGACGTTTTACCGACATGGTTGATACATTCCACTTTGTCTATGTGAATGTCCTCCCCAAAAGGTTTAATCTTGGTAAGCTTGGCAAATGTTTTGGCATCACCATCAGAAAGTATTGATGTATAATGAAGCTTATGATGGGCCACAGCACTCGTTGATCCTCCACCTCTGTCATTCCAGCTGATTCTTGAAATTATCAGTTTGGAAGATGGTTCTGCCTTCCATGCTTCCAATTTAGCTGGTTTAGATTTGGAAACTTTCTTACCAGTGGTTTCACACACCTGACAATATGTGGACATGACATGCAAATTCCTGTAAGGACATCTACTGCACAATCAACCATACTGTAGGATGTGTGGCCTCTCATCAGCCAAGTGCCATCAAAGCTAACAGTAATATCCAGCGGATCATTGTCATGTAGAGTGAGGCCTGACTGCTGTGCATGGACTTGCTGAACATACTTCACGGTTTGAGAGAAAACCATGTTCTCCAGATCTTCTCACTTCACATATAATCTTATTTGCTTTGCTGTGACATTTTTTGTGATCAAGATCTTGCAGGTTCATTTTTCCACAAAATTTGACCGCACCACATGGACTGCATGATAACTTTCATGAAGGCTACTGGCCTCCTGGTATAATTTTTCTGACAGAAGGTTTAAAGAAGAAATCTGTGGTAGCAAGCTTTCATTGGGCAGACAAAACTGGTGGTGTGTGTGAGTGCATGCTTTTTGATGTTGACATAAGATGACTTGTGATGATAATGTTGTTTATTGCAGGATATTACTTTGATGGCGCAGGAGTTGGAAAAACTCTTCCTACAGAAAGTGGCGGACATGCCACCTGAGGTATGTAGTTTGTTTGTGATGTTACTACATGACTAGTGGACTGTTTCTGCTGACTCATTTATAGTTTCTGTTTCAGCCTCAAATTGTATCCTTTTCTTCCGGCTGCTGCAGCAGGGCAAATCAACCGGACAGTGCCCTAAATGAACGCTGGAGTTTATTCCTAGCCCGGCTGCACTTTATGCACCCCAAATGATTGTCACATTTCCATTAACAGTCAATTTTTCCTCTCTGAAATTATCATGTGCAGACTCCATACCTCTCTAATGTGTGATTTTTCTCTTCCATAGGAAATTGAGTTGCCGATCACAGGCAAAAAAGGAAAAGGAGCAAAAGCAGCAGCTGCAGCAGCAGCCAGGTCAGTCTTGAAGCACATGAATTCTGATAAATCTGTGAGCCCAACATTAATACCCCGCAGCACACCTGCACGGTCAGCCACGGCCCTGGTCTACCAGCCCCCACCCAAGGCTGTTGTAACAAGTCCACCAGTCAGCTCCAAGTTGGCCATGAATACCTCAGTGCCATTAGAAGACATCCAGCCAGCCTCCCTACAGCCTGTGCCACCGTCTGCTGTCTTACCGTCTCAGCCATCCAAGGTAAGATTGCTACCACTGGTTTGTCTGTGTGTGTCTGCAGCAGGTGTCAGATTTTCCCTGGGTGGGAACAGATCCTACAGGCATATTGTAGATATAGCACCGACCAAGACTTTAGATCATAATGGAAGGTTCGTTAGGTCTTTAAAGTCATGGCAGGTTTAAATAACTTCTTTGTTTACTGGCTGTAAGCTGCAGCATAAAGTCCTTGCTGTTTGTCCAGTTTGGCTTTGTGCTAGGGCGTGAATATTGCATGTAAATCCGTTTTATTGGCTTATTTGTGTGCAGTTAATTGGTCCTTGCCACTCTGGCGGATACACTCTGACTTTGAAAGAAGCTTTCCAGTTTTTTTGGGAAGGCAGTAGATGCATTCTTTTCTCCACAATGGGGCCCAGAAACCCACACGGAGAGGCTTTTTCTCATATTTGACTGTTGCATTTTCCTCTATATGTAGACCTAAAGGATATAGTTGTGTGTAAGGTGTGACACTATGAGCTGTGGATTTTATTAAAACAAATTTTTTTTTAACTGTTACGAATACGGGTTGTGTTGTGAACTAGATTCAGAAAGTGGTTTTTAGCATCTTGCTACAGAACTAACTGGTGGTACATTATTTGAGTAATCCTAGATTTAGAAAGTGGTTTTTGGCATGTTGCTACAGAACTAAATGGTGGTACCTTATTTGAGTAATCGCGGGTGCAACATTTGATCTGTTGTAACTGTTTATTCCAGCGATGAACTGCATTTCTGGTGACTGTGTCGGCACCTCTGACAACTGCCTTATTCAGTTGGATTTGCTAAGGCTGCAGGTTGTGTTGCTGACACTCAGGAATGGAGTAACTAATGTGATGAAGTTGAAACTGCGATTACCAAACTGACCAAGTGCTGCAGGGGCATTGACTGTCAAATGTAGCACTGACCAATTCCTACATGTAAATTGACTGTAGAATGTAGCTTTGACCCATTTCTACATGTGTATTGAGTGTATGTAGTTAGCTCTGACCAATTCCTACATAGACATTGACTGTAGAATGTAGCTCTGACCAGTTCCTAGATAGACATTGACTGTAGAATGTAGCACCCACCAAGTGCTGCATGGACATTGACGATCTTGCCTTTATTTACATAGCCCAAGAAGAGTTTGAAGAGAAAAGCTGACACAACTACTCCTGGTACTTATGTTGGCTCGGCAGTCATCCCAGCCCTGCATTACGACCCACCATATGAACCCTTGAGTATAGAGGAGGAAGGTCAGCACAGTCGCAGGGAAAGTGTGCGCCAGATCAAGAAGCCCAAACTGCCAGATGAGCCTGGAGTTATCACTGATGTCAATGTAAGTAGTCTGTGCTAGGTTCATCCTTCCTCACAGACAGCCAAGAGTTTCCATACTGACGGTACCCATTGTCACCTGGTCAACTTCTCATCTTGCCTTCTCTCTGAGTCTCAAGTAACATTCGGTGCCTACCACCACACCTTGCTGTAGCATTCTCTCCATGTGCGGATTTCAGTATCTTCCATTTCACCCATTAGCCTGTCCCACAGGTTTGAGATCAACTCTGCCTCGTGCAGTTGCCAGTCTGCCTGCCTGCCTGCTCATTCTTAAACACACCTGAATATCTGGGGCAAAATATCCATTTGACTCCAACCACCTGCAACCTCTGGATTGATTTAATCCATTCCATATGAAGAAAACCTGACTCCACCTTCCTTAGCATGCTTTGTGAATCTTTCTTCTGTGCTGGGATCATTTAGCAGGCAATAACCAAATGTCATGTGATAGGTTCATGAGTGCTGACTGGCTGTGTTTGGTTAATGCATCTGTTATTGATTTCTCTCTGTTTGCCTTCAGCAGTGTGCAACTATGATTCATTTTTTGATTAAAGAAGTTTGTTAATGACATCCATCAGTTCCTGGGAACTATGGGGATGTCGCGCTGTGACTGTAAAGTCAGATGCGGGAGTGGCAGTCTCAGCCCCATTAGTTACACAAAAAACTAGATACTTCCACGCTGTGAGGCCGATTTTGTTTTCTCTGGCGTCTCCTCTCTATAGCTTGTTGCAGGGATGCTAGTGAAGTTTTATATTTTGGGTTTTTACTTATGAAATCATGACAGATATAGATTAAAATTACAAATCCAATAGAACCTTATTTAAGCCTGTAAGTCAATTCTAAGCGGAGATTTTAACATTTTAGTGGCGGATACAACCACAGAAAAATTATAGTGGAAATGCAAAAAACGTGGATTCCCAGTAAGATGAAATGACTCAATGTTTGCATTTTACGGCCATAACTTTTTTGTTTCTGAACGAATCCCTTAGCAACCATATATTGCTAAAATCGGGACAGTGAGACCTAACCGTTTATTCATGTCTCGATTACATACACTGTGATATGCACCTATTTAACATATGAAAATGTTCGCAGGCTGATTTTTTTTCATCAAAAAACCTTATACATTTACAGTTGTCTGCCAACGAGCCTGGCTTAATACATATCATATTGTGTGTCCTGGCAAGGCGAACATAAAGATCATATAAATGTGCCAATGTCAGTTGACGTGACCAAATTAACAAATACCGGACACCAACCCCCCCGCAACAACGATGTCACCCAGGGTGGCCGTATCTCCACACAGTAATGACACCCGGTTTGGTTGCAGGGGCCCCCCCCCCCCCCCACAGTGATGATACCGGGGTGGCCGCACCCCCTTCCTGCTACCTTCTTCCCCTGGTATCTCTCTTCTTTCTTTATTTTTCCTTTCCCTTTTTTTCCCCAATGTCTCAGTGTCGACTTTCTTTTCTTAGTCTCTCTTTTTTCTTCCCCGAATGTAAGACAGGCCTGCGTGCCTAATTTGTAACCCTTTGAAAATAAAGTTCGTTCGTTCGTTCTCTTTCTCAACTTTCTCTCAATCTTCTACTCCCCCAACTCTCCGTTCTGTATGATAGAAGAAAACACGAGCCCACTGGCAGTACACGGCCTGTTTTCATAATGGGTCGGTGACAGTATTAACAATAGGGGAAACACAACAGGTGTGTTTATTTCTGGGAATCAGGTCAGGCCGGATTTTCTTTTCTTTCAAAACATGACCTTGGCTCCCATGTCCACCCAGCATTGAATGTAAGAAATGGATCTATAGCAGCCATACGCGGACAGCCAAGCGTGGGAGGGTTGCCAATGGGATTTTTGTCAAACCCTAAGCTAAGCTGACCAAAAACCCAAGCAATATATAAGCCCCCCCCAAAAAAAACCAAATTGATAAATAGTACATATTTTATAGTTAATTTTAGTTACGAAATGAAAAATTTACCCACTTTATATTCCAAAATCTTAACCCAAGGTGTCGTATAAAAACCCAGTTCTTGGGGGAAAGCCAAGTACTGGCAGGCCTGATGGACGGGAATGCGGTCAGCGCGGCTGTTGTTTCTCGACGACTTAGATTTATTAATTCTGACAGAAAATTCTGTTGGATTCTAAATAATAACAGACGCATTTAAAAAAAATGCTACAAGAGTTGTAGATGTTTAAAAAGTAGCTCACCTAACATTATTAATTTACTAAGTATCTGAAGTTAATTACTAAAGAATCATCTTAGAAAATGCGCAATGATGGCCAAAATTAATTATTGGGATTTTGGGGTGATCAGGAAAGAATATCTCCAACAGAAAATACACAGAGCTCTAAATAATGACAGATGCATGAAAAAATGCTACAATGGTTGTTGATTTTAAAAAAAAATGATTAAAATGTTAGCTAATTTAATAATTATTTTAAGTTAATTATAAAGCGGGGGAAACGGTCTCCTAGTGCAAACATATTGGATTTAAAGCAAAAACAGTGACGTCACTAAAAAAAAATTTTAAGCGCCTGCGCTATTGCCAATCTTTGTGAAATTTCCCATACTTACATAAAAATTAACGCAGAATTCACAAATACACCACAAATTGCGGTAATCTGGCTAATTAGAAAATATTTACGAAATTACTTACCATTAATTCACTGCGTGCTGCCAAGAAAAAAATCAATTTATTGTATACGCGTCAAAACCATCTCAGGTCAAAGCCTAGCATCTCTCCAATAACTCCTAATAATTGTTCCGATTTGACCTTTCACGTAAATTTCTCAATAACGGTCAATTCAATTTGCTTTTTTGGGGCGCGATCGCGTCTCTAATTAGGATGAAAATGTATAGCAAAATAAACGAAACAAAACGACCCATTGATATGCCTATTTGTTGCGTTTGGTTTCTTTCAGAATGCAACAATTGTCTTTTACTTTCTATTGCCACAGTAGTCGATCAGCTTTTAAAAAAAAAAAATTTTTTTACATTTTTTTTTTTTTTAGTAAATATCTTTATAATGTAGTTTTTGCCTTACTGTAGGTGTGTTCCCTTTCCAGTTCACTAAAGATGCTTTGAAATATGACCATCCTCCATGCGGGAGACATGTCCCAGCCGGCACATATGTCTTTGTTTCAGCAGATAATACATTTATGGTATTTTTGCTTTTGCGGGTACACATTCGTTGGAGACAAGGTCACGCATGATATACCTCATACAGCGCATATGAAAGGTGTTCAGACTTTTTTGGGGGGATGGTTCACTGCCATTGAGTAACATGCTGAAAGCACAAGACTCATAAACTTGTTATGGTCACTTTGCTGCACATAGGTGAGTGATCTGTGCCACAATCTGAACCAATTGAGTACAGGCTTATAACCCATAACTGCTGCTTCCCGTGTTTTGCCGAAGCTGTAGTGACCTCTCCAGGGCACAGCCCTAGCCATTTTGATTTCGAGTACAGATTGTTGCCCAGGCAGCAGGTACCCCCTCCCTGTGTTGCTGGTGATAGCAAGGGAAAGGCAAAAGCCAATACAACTTGTTACCAAGGACGTTGAAGGAACTGCTGGAATAGCAGTGTAAACATGCTGAACTGCCTTAAGGATTTCAGCTCTTGGTTTTTCCTTATGGATTACTTCTGGAGCACTTTTCCAAGGTAGGGTATGGCCACAAGGCAATAGAGGTTTAAAATCTGTGTTTTCCTTCTAGATGAGCTGTTGTCCCGTACTCACGAGTCTCATCTGCTGCAAGTTTCAAATCTGAGTTTCTGTCTTCTAGATAAGCTGTCTATCCGAACTGACAATCCTCATCCTCCTGAAGATTGTTGTACTTGGGTTATTTCTGTTTGTGACTTGACTCATTCTGGCACCAGAATGTTTGCATGTGCCAGTTCTTGTCTTTCTTCACATGTTACAGTACAACCTGCATGTAGACAGACGGTGATTCTTCTTCTTTGCGTTCACCAACTGTAAACTCTGGTGGAAAATTATGGTTGTTCGTTTACTTCTGGACTGCAGTCCTGTTCCAGAACTTGAGTGTTGCCTGTGCATTCGTTTGACAGATGTGACTAATTTGTATGCAGACTGTTGGTTCCTTGCCTCTCAGGCAGATATGCTTTGACTTTGAAGGAAGCTCCCAATTAGTCCACTCTTATGACATGCTTGTTGGGTAGACAGTGGGTCTATTCTTGTTTTCTCTATAACATGGCCCCGGAACCCACATGGGGAAGATGATTTGCCTGTCTGATGTGAATCATATTGGTCAGTCCGAAATGACTGCATGCACCTAGCACCACATTGAGTGATATGCCTTCCACCGACTCCCCTTTGCCACCTCCTAGTCTAGATATGTGATATAGATTTGTGTGTGGGCTTGTTGGAAAAGGATGTTTATTTTGTTTAGAAAATGCTGTTAAATTTGGCCCAAACTGATGTTTAATTTGGCTAAAAAGTCTGTTTAATTTTTCTTCAAAAAGCTGTTTAATTTGGCTACAAAGGGCTGTTACATTTTGCTAGAAAAGGCTGTTTTATTTGGCTAGAAAATATTGTTTCATTTCCTAGAAAAGACTTGCTAGAGATGACAGTTTATTTCTGTGAACCACAGATACAGCAGCACAGCTCCAAGAGTAAAAAGAGCAGACTGACAGAGCAGATGCGTTATTGTAGTGCCATTGTCAAGGAGCTCATGACCAAGAAACATCAGGTAGGATTGTCTGTAAGTGACGGCAGACATTGACACGTTCTTTTGATGCTGACATAGACATGGTCTATTTTTACTGCCTATCTGACATAGATGTGTCTCTTGCTATCTCATGCCTGTCTCTTATTTTTGTCTGCCTGACATAGACATGGTCTATTGTTACTGTCTACCTAACATAGTGTCTCTTGTTGCTACCTCATGCCTGACAAACATTACCTTTTGTTACTCTTTACCTGATTATAAACACTGTTTCTGTTTACTGACATAGACCTGGTTTTGTGTTACTGTCTCGTTCCTGACATAGACATGGTCTATTGTTACTGTCTACCTAACATAGTGTCTCTTGTTGCTACCTCATGCCTGACATAAACATTACCTTTTGTTACTCTTTACCTGATTATAGACACTGTCTCTGGTTACTGTCTCGTGCCTGATATTGACATGGTCTCTTGTTACTCTCTTTTGCTTGTTATTGTCCTGCTTGTCCCCTTTTCCCTCTTCCTACCACTCTGTATGTATGTATCTATGTGTGTATGCATGCTTGTTAGTGGAAGTATGAATGTATGCATGCATGTTAGTGGATGTCTGTATGCATGTATGTATGTATCTATGTGTGTATGTGCATGTTAGTGGAAGTATGAATGCATGTATGTATGTATCTATGTGTGTGTATGCATGCTTGTTAGTGGAAGTATGAATGCATGTATGTATGTGTGTATGCATGCTTGTTAGTGGATGTCTGTATGCATATTTAGCTGTGTAAGTATGTGTGTGTATTTATGTATGTAAAGATGTGTGTATTTATACATGTATGTGTGTGAATGTGTTCATGTGAGTGTAAGTGTGGTTGTGGGCATATGTTGGTGTCTGTACATGTGATGGTATGTGTGTGTAGTGTATGCATGTTTGTGTGTGAATGTGAGTGTAAATGTGTGGTTGTGGGTATATGTTGGTGTCTGTACATGTGATGGTATATGTGTGGTTGTGGGCATATGTTGGTGTCTGTACATGTGATGGTATAAGTGTGGTTGTGGGCATATGTTGGTGTCTGTACATGTGATGGTATATGTGTGGTTGTGGGCATATGTTGGTGTCTGTACATGTGAGTGTAAATGTGTGGTTGGTATGTGGGTCTGTACATGTGAGTAAATGTGTGGTTGTGGGCTATACTGTACATGTGATAAATGTGTGGTTGTGTGCATAGTTGGTGTCTGTACATGTGATGCATGTGTATTGTGGGCATGTTGGTGTCTGTACATTGATAAATGTATGTGTGTGTTGTGGGCTATGTTTGTGTACATGTGATGTCTAGTGTGTAGTGTATGTGTGGATGCATGTATAGTGTGTATGTATATCCATAAATTTATGTGTGTGTGTATTTCTGTTTGTGCATGTATGAGAACGTAGGAGTATTTATTACGTTTGTGATATAAGTGTGCATGTATGAGAACGTAGGAGTATTTATACTTGTGTACGATTGTGTGCACAGTGTGTATGCATTATTCTATAATTTATATTTTTTATTATATCCATAACACGCATTATTGATAACAGGCATCGGTACTCTGAAAAATGAGTGTTTAAAAGGGCCGAATGTCAGACGGGCCTGCGTACCCAATTTGTAACCCTTTGAAAAAAAAGTTTGTTTGTTCGTTCGTTTGTTCTGCACAGACCACCTAGTTGTCCCTGCATGCCTGGGGTATTGACTGTGGGTGCTGCAGTGTCCACGGTAATTGACCAACAGACATTGTCTGTGCATGCCTGGGGTATTGACTGTGTGGGTGCTGCAGTTTCCACGGTAATTGACCAACAGACATTGTCTGTGCATGTCTGGGGTATTGACTGTGTGGGTGCTGCAGTGTCCACAGTAATTGACCAACAGACATTGTCTGTGCATGCCTGGGGTATTGACTGTGTGGGTGCTGCAGTGTCCACAGTAATTGACCAACAGACATTGTCCCTGCATGCCTGGGGTATTGACTGGGTGCTGCAGTGTCCACAGTAATTGACCAACAGACATTGTCTGTGCATGCCTGGGGTATTGACTGTGTGGGTGCTGCAGTGTCCACAGTAATTGACCAACAGACATTGTCTGTGCATGCCTGGGGTATTGACTGTGTGGGTGCTGCAGTGTCCACGGTAATTGACCAACAGACATTGTGCATGCCTGGGGTATTGACTGTGGGTGCTGCAGTGTCCACAGTAATTGACCAACAGACATTGTCTTTGCATACCTGGGGTATTGACTGTGTGGGTGCTGCAGTGTCCACGGTAATTGACCAACAGACATTGTCTGTGCATGTCTGGGGTATTGACTGTGGGTGCTGCAGTGTCCACAGTAATTGACCAACAGACATTGTCTGTGCATGCCTGGGGTATTGACTGTGCTGCAGTGTCCACGGTAATTGACCAACAGACATTGTCTGTGCATGTCTGGGGTATTGACTGTGTGGGTGCTGCAGTGTCCACGGTAATTGACCAACAGACATTGTCTGTGCATGCCTGGGGTATTGACTGTGTGGGTGCTGCAGTGTCCACAGTAATTGACCAACAGACATTGTCTGTGCATGCCTGGGGTATTGACTGTGTGGGTGCTGCAGTGTCCACAGTAATTGACCAACAGACATTGTCTGTGCATGTGTGCTATGGTCTCTTGTCTGTTGCAGGCTTACGCATGGCCCTTTCTGAAGCCTGTGGACGCCGAGGGCTTGGGACTGCATGACTATTATGATATTATCAAGAAACCCATGGATCTCGCAACTGTCAAGGTTGGTTGTCTTCTTCATTCACTTTCTTATTGCATGTTGTTATTATCCACAAAACTTTCACTTATGTCATATCTATTGTTCTTGTTGTATGTTATCCACAAAACTTTCACTTATGTGATAATCATTGTTCTTATTGATTGTTAGTATCATCACAATTTTCACCTATGTGATATTTGTTGTGTATGTTAGTATCAGCAGAATTGATTATGGGTGCGTAGACACAAAAATTGTCTTTGTAACTTGAAATTGTGAATCCCATGGTGACTTTGATATGTATATATACACATACAAGCACTCACACGCACAAACATATGTGTCACTGTTGGACTAAGATAGATTTGTTGTTGTACATTTTACTTTGGCTGCTGCCGCTCAATCCACATTGACAGTAGGTACCATGTAGTGTTCTGTAATGCCACATGGGCCATCAGCTGCCTGTTTGTCTACATAAATCTAGATTAGCACTTTATGCTTATGTAAGAGGGTAGTATGTCAGCACTGAGGCCTGTGTAGGGGACAGTGTGCTTGGACAATTGTTTGATAGTGTTAGGTTGACAAGTGGAGACCTTGCTCAAGTTTAACTTCCAGACAAGTAATCATGATGTGGGGAATGTGCTGGTTGATCCTGAGGTCAGCATATCAAACATAGTGATGTGTTGTTTAATAATTGTACCATCGTCATCATCATCATCATCATCAGAACGTCTTATGTAGGGATTGTCAGCAGCTGATGGGGGAGGAGGTCGAAGCAACCAGTCTCACTCCAGACAAATACTCACTTGTTTGCAGAAAAAGATGGAAACTCGGGAGTACCGAGCTATCAGTGAGTTTGCTGAAGATGTTCGCCAGATATTCCACAACTGCTACAGGTACAACCCTCCTGACAGTGATGTGGCTAAAATGGGTAGAAAGTTACAGGTGAGACCATTTGCTATTTGTTGTGAAAATAATACTTGGTTCTGTCAGCTTATAGGGAGGAGTATACCTAATCTCATAGTTTCAGGTGAGGGCTGCAAGGATTGAAGGAGTATACCTAATCTCATAGTTTCAGGTGAGGGCTGCAAGGATTGGAGGAGTATACCTAATCTCATAGTTTCAGGTGAGGGCTGCAAGGATTGAAGGAGTATACCTAATCTCATAGTTTAAGGTGAGGGCTGCAAGGAAGGAAGGAGTATACCTAATCTCATAGTTTCAGGTGAGGGCTGCAAGGATTGGAGGAGTATACCTAATCTCATAGTTTCAGGTGAGGGCTGCAAGGATTGAAGGAGTATACCTAATCTCATAGTTTCAGGTGAGGGCTGCAAGGATTGGAGGAGTATACCTAATCTCATAGTTTCAGGTAAGGGCTGCAAGGATAGGAGGAGTACAAGAATCCCCTTCTTGACAAGTATCCACAGGCATGGCTGTTGGGCATCCCTCTGTGTGTTCTAGGATCCCCATTTTAACACTTTGCTGACCAGCAGTCCGGGGCATTAGTCTCCCATTACCAAGGCTGTTTAGAGATGTGTCAGAATGTCTGGTTGCATAATACAATTCAGAAACAAGCAGAGGGTTTTGAAACTTTTAGAGCATCATTACGGATGGTTGAGAGCATCATTACGGATGGTTGAGAGCATGGGAAAAGGTATATTATGCAAATATATCACATGATCATGGAGGTCATTATGAATTTGTGTTTGGCTATTTAAAGAAATTTCACATGTTCTAAAAGGTTTACACTGTGCTGAAGAACAGCAGGTCTAATAAGAGCAAGACTGACATCCTGCCTGAACCTCCTTGCTGTGACCTTATACGCAGAGTTGGCAGTGTTGTAGCTTATATGCTCATTGACCAGAGCAGTGTCAACTAAAAATAAATGAATAATATAATGCAGGTACCAGTTAAAGGATCTAGGTGGTCAGGGAATAGTTTGCACACAGCTGGCCAAAGTGATCAATACCCTCCATACTGTTGTATTGTTCTGCAAAAACTGGCTTATTATTCTACTACCCTCAATAATTCCACTTGTCCTAACTGTTAGTCTATAACACCACTGAAGTCAACAGGAGATATCGTTAGTCTATAACATGACCAGAAGTCAACAGGAGATATCGTTAGTCTCACCATTGAAGTCAACAGGAGATTATCGTGTCTTAAAACCACTGAAGTCAAACAGGAGATCGTTAGTCTATAACACCAGAAGTGAACAGGAGGTTAGCCTAATAACACCACTGAAGTCAACAGGAGATATCGTTAGCAGAGGGATATCGTTAGTCTATAACACCACTGAAAACAGGAGATATCGTTCTATAACATCACTGAAGTCAACAGGAGATATCGTTAGTCTATAACACCACTGAAGTCAACAGGAGATATCATTACGTCTATAACACCACTGAAGTCAACAGGAGATATCGTTATCATGACGGATGGAGATTGAGTTAGTCTATAACATCACTGAATCAACAGGAGAGATCAGTCTATAAACCACTGTATACAGGAGATATCGTTTATATATAACACCACTGATCATGGAGATCGCTATCATGAATTTGTGTATTGGTCTATTTAACCACTGATTTCAACAGGAGATGCTAGTCTAAACCACTGAAGTCAACAGGAGATATCGTGCTATAACACCACTGAAGTCAACAGGAGATATCGTTAGTCTATATAACTGAGTCAACAGAGTCTGAACACCACTCAACAGGAGATATCGTTAGTCTAACACCTCCTGAAGTCAACTGGAGATATTGCTAGTCTATAAACACCACTGAGTCAACAGGAGATTTGTAGCTATAACACCACTGAAGTCAACCAGGAGATTTCGTTAGTCCAGAGCACTGAAGTCAACTATCGTTAGTCTATAAATGAAGTCAACAGGAGATATCGTTAGTCTATAACACACTGAAGTCAAAGGAGATCTAGGTAACACCACTGAAGTCAACAGGAGATATCGTTTTGCTATAACACCACTGAAGTCAACAGGAGATATCGCTAGTCTATAACATCACTGATGTCAACAGGAGATATCGCTAGTCTATATCACCACTGAAGTCAACAGGAGATATCGTTAGTCTATAACACCACTGAAGTCAACAGGAGATATCGTTAGTCTATAACACCACTGAAGTCAACAGGAGATATCGTTAGTCTATAACACCACTGAAGTCAACAGGAGATATCGTTAGTCTATAACACCACTGAAGTCAACAGGAGATGAAGTCATAACACCACTGAAGTCAACAGGATATTGTTAGTCTATAACACCACTGAAGTCAACAGGAGAGATATCGTTAGTCAAACAGAGATATCGTTAACCACTGAAGTCAACAGGAATATCGTCATAACAGAAGTCAAGGAGATATCGCTAGTCTATAACACCACTGAAGTCAACAGGAGATATCGTTAGTCTATAACACCACTGAAGTCAACAGGAGATATCGTTAGTCTATAACACCACTGAAGTCAACAGGAGATATCGCTAGTCTATAACACCACTGATGTCAACAGGAGATATCGCTAGTCTATATCACCACTGAAGTCAACAGGAGATATCGCTAGTCTATAACACCACTGAAGTCAACAGGAGATATCGCTAGTCTATAACACCACTGAAGTCAACAGGAGATATCGTTAGTCTATAACACCACTGAAGTCAACAGGAGATATCGCTAGTCTATAACACCACTGAAGATATCGGGTGTATTCTCTTTGTGTCACACCAGGTGATGGCTAACATGCCTTTTTGTCACATAAAACAGGATGATCTGCCTTTTTATTTCAACTGCTTTCTCTTTAAAAAAAAAATAACTTGGCACACACCCATTTGTGTCTGACATAGCACCTTGTTCTTTGTGTAGAGGAAGATTGTCAAGCTTCATTTTGAGCAGCCTTTCTGCATTTGGGAAACATCATTTTTTGGCTGTAGAAATGTTCTGGTCTCTTGTGTTACAGGCCCACTTCTTTGTTCAGATGTACCTACATCAAGTTTATCATCATAGTCGCTACTTTCAGCTGCGATTTGACAACATTCACAGGTAAATCTCTGCTTATCCAGGAACTCTCGTTTTCAGCGCTATATTTGCTGGCAGATTGTGACTCGTCACTATCACTGGTCTGGTTTTTGTCATCAGACATGACAAAAAAGCTGAAAATGCACTGGTCATGAAAATTATCAAAGTTCATTGAAAACCGCTTGTATCGGCTTAAAGCGATATCGATGGTAGGCGCAGCCATCTGGGAATAACGTTCTATTCAAAAACTATTGGCAGGCACATATTTTGGCAGTCTACATGTTGCGAATTCGCAGATTGCCAAATTTTTTGGTCACCAGGGAATAGGACTGGAAATTTGCAGATTTGTAAAGTTAGTCAGCAAAGTGTTAAGGAGAGGAAAAAATATTTCTATTGCTCCTCTAACAAGCATATTGTAGAAGTCTACTAATTAGGGTTGTTTCCTTGGGAGTGCATCTGCTTGGAAGGTGATCAGCCAGCAGTCTGCTAACAAAATAATCCAAATCTATACAACGGATGTGCATGCAAAACTCATATCCTGTCTAGAAACGGATGAGCTAACAGCTTCCTACAGCAGTTAACAGCCAGTGAACATGGAGAGCTGTTGAGCTGGCAGGCAAGAGAACACGGCCACAGCTGACCTGTGTCAGGTGTTTGTCACATGCTGTCACGGTTTTCTTTTAGGTGACGGGGAGAATATCTTCATTATCAGCACACAGGGCACCACTACAGTAGAACCTGTGTCAGGTGTTTGTCACATGTTGTCACGGATTTCTGTCAGGTGACGGGGAGAATATCTCTATATCAGCACACAGGGCAGGTGTTTAATTAGCTGCAACATGTGTACCCTGTCATGGTTGTTAGGACTTGAGTCTCTCTATGGTTGAATGTATGTGTGTAGATACACTAGTTGAATCAGCAGAATGTACTATACCCCTTGCTTGCAGGAAGTGTTTGAGATGAAGTACGCTCGAATGCCTGAAGATGCCCCCCAGACTGACCCCACCCCACCCTCATCAGTGGCATCAGGGTTGACCAGGGGTGAGGAAGGAAGTGGTCTGTCCTCCGTTGACCACAGTTCTGATAATGACAGCGAGGAAGAGAGGGAGAGAAAGCTCAGTGACCTCCAGGAGCAGGTAATTACATTCCCACAACACACACACACCGTCAACATTTTGTCTTCTCCATTTTTAAGAATGTCTGTACAGATGCAGTTTTGACAACTGATGGGTTTCCTTGAGTGATTCACTTGTCTGGGTCATTAAGGAACCAAATAGTCACACCATTAATGTCGGCCTGTACATGTGACAGTGTGTCCGACGTATACAAAAGACGTTTTACATTATGTCCAAGGGACATTAGCGTACAGTCGTATGTACTGTGTTGTGTCAGACGTATACAAAAGACATTATACATTATGATATCCAAGGGACATTAGTGTACTGTCATATGTACCGGTGAAAGTATGTATGAAAGTGACACATGTGTCAGTGATGTGTGTACAGATGGTCTGTTGCTGATGTGCATACAAATAGTGTGTTAATGATGTGTATATAGTTGGTACTAGTTCAGTGACATGCACTAGTTCCATTAGTGTGTTAGGCATTATACAAGTGCCAGTGTCAGACATTGAATTCAACAATCTTTATTTTGCTTTTCAGCTGGCCAAAGTTCAAGAACAGTTGGCATCACTCACCAGGGAACATGTGCAACGACTGAAAGAGAAAAATGAAAACAAAACTAAGAAGAAGAAGAAAAAAGACAAGGAAGAGATAAAGAAAGAGCTCACAGACACCATCACCCCACCTCCTCATGTTCCAATGGCATCGTTGCCGCCCCCAGCTCTCACAAAAGACACTCCAAAACCCAAGAAAAAATCAAAACAAAAATCTCCAGCCAACAAGAAACCCAGGAACAACAGCATTAACCTCGGGGCTCCCAACCACAAGCGAGCCGGCCTCCTGCCAGCAGCTGCTCCTGTGCCACCACCGTTTGACAGTGACGAAGACGAAGACAATGCAAAACCCATGACCTATGACGAGAAACGACAGCTAAGCCTGGATATCAACAAGCTACCAGGTGAGGTGTGTTTCAATGATGTTGGGGAGGGGTTCGCTTGTTGAATATACAACTAAGATGTATTTGGGTATCAGCAGTCTATCACCACTTATGAACAGCGACCTGTTTGTTAGTTCAGTCACCAATGTAGATAAGATGAGTTATTGCATTCCCAATTGAAATTCCACCAATGTGCCTTTTCTTCATCATCGTCATTCCTCCAAGTGATAAATGCGTCTGTTTTTAGCGCTGCTGAGATATTTGCGCCTTTTAGCCAATACACCTGACTTCTAATCATTTTTTTTTGGTTAGCTTTTCTTAGTTTTGTGGGACATTGGTAGGCTTATATTTATGGTTACTTCATCATCTCCCGATTAACAGGTGTAGTCCCTTGAGGACTCATTCTGGGCAGTCTTAAGGAAATGATGGGCATTCTCCACTATTGAAGGAGTTTTCCAGAGTAAAGAGCTGACAAATGAAGCTTTAGTACTAAGCTGACCCAAGGAATGGTCATGTCATGCACACAGCTGCTGAAAGTGTCACCTCTGTGAATGGTCATGTCATGCACACAGCTGCTGAAAGTGTCACCTCTGTGAATGGTCATGTCATGCACACAGCTGCTGAAAGTGTCACCTCTGTTTGTTGAGTCTTCTGCTTATTACTGTCGATGCCCTGTAGAGATCCCTAGGAAGAAGTCTGCAGAACTGCGACTGCAATTCTCTGCAAAGATAGGCATCCCACTTCACCAGCACTTTAGCCTTTCTGTGCCAGGTACCTTTCATCTGGATCAGTCAGTTACCATGGTTTGGACATGTATGCAAAATGGGATAAAATAGGCCTCCATGGCAGGCATAAGAGGCTACAAAAACCAGGAACACAGACCTTGAGGTCAACCCAGGGTTCGCTGTGAAGACAACATCCGACTGTCCCTGACCAAAAGACAACGGGAATGGAACAAAACCAGGGAAAAAAAAACTGACAGAGAAGTATGGCTGGCGATCTCTCTGGCAAATCTTAACACTCCAAGGTAGAAAAGGAGCGACTAACTAAAGTCAGTAAAGCACACAAAGTGGAGGTGTGGCAGGAGTCTTGCTGCTGACTCGTGAGGCGAGGTATGGAGTATATAGATGTTGTGAGCCTTCATGCCTGTGCGTGAGATCATTGTGGCACAGGGAACATTGTAATGTCAGAGATTGAGTATTGATTATTCAATAAAGGTGTTGAGCATATCTGTTTCACAACTGCATGTCCCTTGTTGAGCACTAACACTGATGTCTATGTTCTTGTTGACAGGTGATAAGCTCGGTCGAGTGGTTCACATCATACAGTCCAAGGAGCCATCCTTAAGGGATTCCAACCCTGATGAAATTGAGATTGATTTTGAAACTCTGAAACCTTCAACACTTCGAGAGCTGGAAGAGTATGTGATGACATGTCTAAAGAAAAAGCCCCGCAAAGCTTACAGTAAGTAGTTCACGGTGTCAGCAAGCAGTTTCTCTGTCTGTATAACTGTGAAGTGTGTTTGACAAGCGAGTGCAGTAGTTTCTCAGGTCTGTTTATTATGAATCTTTATTATACCTGCAAACAAGAGTGTTGACCTGATGCAATGTTCTAGTGATCCTGTGGGATGACAGAACTTGACTGCCTACTCTTATCTGCATTTCTCACAGATCTATTGTCTTGTATATTGAATCATTGATTGAATATGAAATCATTGTTTTAATGTTTGTTGTATGTGAAATATGATGCATAGCAAACTAAACTAACATCTAGTCTCTGTGTCCCTGCGATTACTTGGGCATAGTGGCTGATGATGACCTTTTTGTCTGGTTTATTGCAGCCAAGAAGACTTCAGGCAGATCTAAAGAGGATGCTCAGAGGGAAAGGAAGATGGAGCTGGAGAAGAGACTAGAAGGTGTTCAGCAACAGCTGGGCCAACCCAAGAAGTCGAAGAAAGGTAATTGAAAGTCACACCAGCTGGGGGAGAGGGGACAGGTAGTCTTGCTTGTGTGTATGGCTGCTGGGCATCACAAGTGATGGACGAATGACTTTCTGTCATCCATCATGAAACTGTAGTTAATTGTTTGTGAGTCCGGAGGTGACTTGTACGTCCAGTCCATGCCAGGAAGAGTCTAGGACAATGTGCGGGGCACAGTGTCTGTAGACAAAGTTGTCGGCTCTTTTGGGCCAGTCTTCGCTGTTGAGCTGCCTTTGTTCTAGATACCTAGCAGATCTTTGCACCTATTTGCCCCATAAAGTCTGGTCTGGTCCAAATGTCAGAGTTTATACTGAAGGCTTTCAATGATGCCTATAGTGTGCCCTTAAAGCCCCGAGCCCCCCCCCCCCCCCCCCCCCCCCCAGGCATGGGCACACAACATGCAGCCACCTTCCGGCCACCATGGGAAGGTCGGCCCTCATGTATCTCACCAAAAAATATTATGTTTGGGAGCCGATGGTCAGGCATTGGAACAACATGGCCAGCCAGGAGAATCTGTGGTTGTATCAGGATGGTATTAATGCTGGGAATGCCTGCCCTGTCTAGTAGGACAGTGTCCGCGACCAAGTCTTGCCACTTGATTTTCAGTATCTTTCTCTGACAGATTTATGGAAGTTGTGTTTTTTTTTTTTTTTTTTTTAGCCTGATGTCTGCATTCAGTCCAAGTTTCACATTCATGATTCTGGCCTGCATTCCATCATGCAGTTACTGTATAATCATGATTCTGGCCTGCATCCCATCATGCAGTTGCTGTATAATCATGATCAATTTCCTTGGGCAGTTATATTTTACCATGATCTTCCACAGAGGTCAGTGAAAGCCAGTTAACAAATCACAGTGCTGTTCCAGACATTTGTCTTGTAACTGTCTTTTGGCAAACACCATATCTATGCTTCTGTGCTCTTTCTAGTCAGAGACTACAAACCAGCTAGCATCTCAGCATTCCTGTTGTAGTATGTACTGTTTGGTTGTTATGGCACATCTTGACTGTCAGTGTAGTGCAAGCTGGTGCCACAGACAGTTTGTGTGTGTGTGTGTGCAGCGGTCCTGCCTACCCGCCAGTAGTAGTTGATTCTCTACACCCAGCAAGGCTTTTTGTGGAGAGACTTTCACCTTGAGGATTCTGTTATCTGTGTGGAAATGTCAGCTTGTTTACATTTGTCTGTCTGATCATGTTGGCTCATAGATGGCTGCATAGAGACTGATGTCTTCCTGCTTGATGCCTGTTTGCATCATGGCTGTAAGGCTCACTGGTGCATGCCATTGTTTAACCACATGTGCCTTCCTAGAGCTGAATATTTACTGGCCAGGCCCAGGTGTCCAGTCATCAGATGATCTCTTTTTCTAGAACACTGCAGTCAGCTAGGGTTATCTATGCCTGTCCGCCCCACACTGCAGTCAGCTAGGGTTATCTATGCCTGTCTGCCCCACACTGCAGCATTAGGAAGGAAGCCCAGCCTTGTCCTCTCTGACACTTCTGTAGACTGACTACATGCATTGACTGACAGCCCCATTTCCCCTCCCTAAACCCTATGGCAATCTAAATGATGTATTTCAGCTGTTGTCAACCTAGGGGTCGAATGACCATTTCATTGGGGCCACATAAGACTTGGGAAGAACACACATTTACTGAAGTTATGAAGTAGCAATGAAAATAATTGTATGGTTGGGGGATGCCACAGCTTGAGGAGCTGTATTAAAAGGTCGCAGCATTAGGAGCTGTATTAAAAGGTCGCAGCATTAGCAAGTATGAGAACCAATGATGTAATACATTGATGCGCATATGGAATTATTGTATTCTCTCTCTCTACTTCCAGATGATGGCGCACCCGGCGGAGAGATGGCAGTTTCCAGCAGGTTGAGTGGCAGCAGCAGCAGCAGCTCCGGCAGTGACACCACTAGTGACAGCAGCTCTTCCAGCTCCTCAGAGTCATCCGATTCCGAATCAGGTTAGCACCTCATGCAAACATATTGTACTTGTCCCTAAATCTGTGCCAACAACTACTGGACCCCGTGGCTGGTCGACATCCATGATTTATGTGCTGGTAGTTGACTGGGATAGACATCGTTTCCTGTGTGAGGCTCTTCTTTCCTGTAAGGTTGGTGGTTGTTAGTCACTGAGACACTGCAGTTATCATTGCTTCATCCATGCCTTCTATTCTAAGTAGTTTCTGCTGTTGTCAGGCAGGGGAAAGGTTTGCCACAGTACACATGGATGCAGGTATCGCATGTTGCCATTGTTAGTTATGAAGGTTGAGCTAAGGCTGGCACTGGTGGGTGTGGTGTGGCTGTGTGCTCTACTGTATTAGGGTGGAGGGGGTATGATATGACTGGACCAGCACAGACATATACTTTTTCACAGATGGGCACATCTCAGAAGGAAAACCATTTTAGTAGCCTGAATACTGACAGGTTTCTTGCAGCAAATGTGATTAATGATACGCAGATATACTGTCAGGGTCTGGAGACCCATAAGTTGAGGCGAAAGTGTGTGTGTTTGTCTGGGGCTGAAAGTATGTGTGTGTTACCTAATTGAATAGGTGTTCTTACAGTGTGCAATATATCTGTGTGTATTTAAATATAGAATATTGAGGTGTGACTACTTGAGCTGATGAGTTGGCTACCCTGTCAGTGGTTTGGTGTGTGTAAGCCTATCTGCCCATACCTTGAGTGCTAAGTACAGGCCAGTCACTTTTTAACATACTTCATTTCATTCTGGGAAAATACTCAAATAATGTTTGTATCATTGTTTGTTACCATCAGCCCGTGATTGTTTACCTGGTTGTCCACTCCTTCATGAGCATGATAGTATTCTGTCTGTCTGTCTGTCTGTCTGTCTGTGTGAGAGACGGGAAGCTGTGTATTGTTTCCACTCATTATCTGTTCTCTGTGTTTGTGTGTGGGAGAGTTGTGTAAAGTTTCCAGTCGGTGTCTGTTCTTCTCCCACTGTGCCTGCCTTTGTGTGTGGGAGAGTTGTGTAAAGTTTCCAGTCGGTGTCTGTTCTTCTCCCACTGTGCCTGCCTTTGTGTGTGGGAGAGTTGTGTAAAGTTTCCAGTCGGTGTCTGTTCTTCTCCCACTGTGCCTGCCTTTGTGTGTGGGAGAGTTGTGTAAAGTTTCCAGTCAGTGTCTGTTCTTCTCCCACTGTGCCTGTTTGTGTGTGGGAGAGTTGTGTAAAGTTTCCAGTCAGTGTCTGTTCTTCTCCCACTGTGCCTGCCTTTGTGTGTGGGAGAGTTGTGTAAAGTTTCCAGTCAGTGTCTGTTCTTCTCCCACTGTGCCTGTTTGTGTGTGGGAGAGTTGTGTAAAGTTTCCAGTCAGTGTCTGTTCTTCTCCCACTGTGCCTGTTTGTGTGTGGGAGAGTTGTGTATAGTTTCCAGTTGTGTCTGTTCTTCTCCCACTGTGCCTGTTTGTGTGTGGGAGAGTTGTGTAAAGTTTCCAGTCAGTGTCTGTTCTTCTCCCACTGTGCCTGCCTTTGTGTGGAAGAGTTTTGTATAATTTCCAGTCGGTGTCTGTTCTTCTCCCACAGTGCCTGCCTTTCTGTGGAAGAGTTGTGTATAGTTTCCAGTTGTGTCTGTTCTTCTCCCACTGTGCCTCTTTGTGTGTGGGAGAGTTGTGTAAAGTTTCCAGTCAGTGTTTGTTTTTCTCCCACTGTGCCTGCCTGTGTGTGGAAGAGTTGTGTATAGTTTCCAGTTGTGTCTGTTCTTCCTCCACTGTGCCTGTTTGTGTGTGGGAGAGTTGTGTATAGTTTCCAGTCGGTGTCTGTTCTTCTCCCACTGTGCCTGTTTGTGTGTGGGAGAGTTTGTATAGTTTCCAGTCGGTGTCTGTTCTTCTCCCACTGTGCCTGTTTGTATGTGGGAGAATTGTGTATAGTTTCCAGTCGGTGTCTGTTTTTCTCCCACTGTGCCTGTGTGTGTGGGAGAGTTGTGTATAGTTTCCAGTCGGTGTCTGTTTTTCTCCCACTGTGCCTGTTTGTGTGTGGGAGAGTTGTGTATAGTTTCCAGTCGGTGTCTGTTCTTCTCCCACTACCTCTTCTTGTACCTGTCTGTGTTTGATTAATGAAGGGACTACAGTGAAAATCTGAGTTAGCTTGAGACCATGGTCTAGGCTAGCAGGCCAGCTGATGTCCATCTTTTGCTCTATTGGCAGCTGTTGACAAATGTTGTTGTATATTGTTGTTGTTGTCTGTCTCTTGCTCTATTGGCAGCTGTTGACAAATGATGTTGTATATTATTGTTGTTGTTGTCTGTCTCTTGCTCTGTTGGCAGCTGTTGACAAATGATGTTGTATATTATTGTTGTTTTTGTCTGTCTCTTGCTCTGTTGGCAGCTGTTGAGAAATGTTGTATGTTATTGTTGTTGTCTCTTGCTCTATTGGCAGCTGTTGACAAATGTTGTTGTATATTATTGTTGTTGTCTGTCTCTTGCTCTATTGGCAGCTGTTGACAAATGTTGTATATTATTGTTGTTGTCTGTCTCTTGCTCTATTGGCAGCTGTTGACAAATAATGTTCTATATTGTTGTCGTTGTCCAGCTCGTACTCAATTGTCAGGCGTTAACAAATGAAGTTCTATATTGTTGTTGTCCCCTCTCTTGCTTAATAGTCAGGCGTTGATACATGATGTTTTATGTTGTTATTTATATGTACCTAAATATCAAATATCTGTGGATACATTCATTTGTTTTATTTCACTACCATTTCAATAAAGCAAAATACATTTTGACTGCAATGACTGGCTTCTGTATTAGCACAGCTGCTGCACTGTGTGGAGAGAGAGCGAATGGGTGACCGTTGAACTGGTTGTATGTACAATTATGTTTGTGGTAGGGCTTTATGACTGCCCCGCTTGGACCTATCTCTCACATCAGTGACTGCCCGGCTTGGACCTTTCTCTCACATCAGTTTGCCTATAGTTCATTCCAGAAGTCATGTCAAATTGTAAAATAATTCAGTAACTGTTGGGTGTCAGTTGTTGAGATGTCTCATACAGCCTGTTAATAATTAAGTACTTGCAAGATTTTTTTAACAGTGTTTCATTTTTGCCAAGGGATTGAAATCAAACAATCGACATGCTTTCAGCAACTTGAGTATATTAAGAGGAACATTTCATTACATTGCATGCAAGTCATGTGTGTTTTACTCTTAGATAGTCGGCTCCAGCATAAATCTCCCGTTAGAAGATCATTAACTCCCAGTTCCTGAAAAAAAAGGCCCTTTAAAAAAAACATTTGACACTGGTCACTCATAAATGTATATCTACATTAAAAAATGTAGTCTAAAAGTACAAGACGGGGAATAATCTAAAGGGAAAAAACAGCGAAGATTAAATGTAATACTTTCCTGTAGATCTAAAGCCATTTATACAGTGACCCAGTTGTGCTATGCCACTGCTGAAATAATATTTGTTGATTATTGTGGTCACAATCACTTGAACAAAGACATTTTTTCCCAACAGTAATCCTTCTACAATGCTTATTTTAGTAAACATAATATTAGGTCGTATTGAACATTGCATTTGTGCAAACAGAAGCTGTGAGGTTAACTAGGAAAGTCAGGAACTAACCAGTACAGCAAAGCTGTCATAACACTACCAGGGCCTGGCGCATTTATAACTGGCAGGGAAAGGTTTTTTTTTTTTTTTTTTTTTTTTAGCCCATATTTTTGTCATCATTTACCATTCCTACTAGTGAAATATGCCAGCTGTCTCCTCTCATCACATTTTCCCCTGCCCTCAACCGTTTTGCCAAGTTTCTGTCTCCTCTCATCACATTTTTCCTGCCATCTAAACTGTTTTGCCAAGTTTCTGTCTCCTCTCATCACATTTTTCCTGCCATCTAAACTGTTTTGCCAAGTTTCTGTCTCCTCTCATCACATTTTTCCTGCCATCTAAACTGTTTTGCCAAGTTTCTGTCTCCTCTCATCAAATTTTTCCTGCCATCTAAACTGTTTTGCCAAGTTTGTCTCTTCTCATCACATTTTTCCTGCCATCTAAACTGTTTTGCCAAGTTTGTCTCTTCTCATCAAAAATGTCCTCTTGCTAACCAGTTTACACCATGTGACTTATGTCCTTCCTGTCCTTCTCCCCTTCTCCTCTCTCCCTCCCCCCTAATCACCAATACGGCTCATTAGCACGATGGCGGTCCCATTTTAAAAACTCAGTAAACCTGAGAGGGTTAATTGTTTATGCCCTCACTGTAGGCAGTCTTGGAGCACAGCCAGTGTTATTGATAGTGTTTATAAATAGACAAACCCTAATATTGGCAGATATGGTCACTGATGTTCAATACAAATATGACACCTAGACAAGCCTAAGCAATGGTAGATGTCATCAGTTCTCTTATGTTCAAGGGTTGAATTTATGACAGGTGTACATACGCAGACACTGACTGATAAATGTTGGTTCACACAGTCAGTGTCTGTATTACATGGTGAGCAAGCAAGAACTTCTCTAGCTTGCAGTTGTAGCCCAGCAGAAACCATTTAGAGAGAGAAGGCAGGCTATACATGTGGGATAGACGTCACTGTCAGTGAGAGAAGGCAGGCTGTACACCTGGGATAGACGTCACTGTCAGTGAGAGAAAGCAGGCTGTACACCTGTGATAGACGGCACTGTCAGTGAGAGAAGGCAGGCTGTACACCTGGGATAGACGTCACTGTCAGTGAGAGAAGGCAGGCTGTATATGTGGGATAGATGACACCATCTCAGTGAGAGAAGGCAAGTTGTACACATGGGATAGATGACACCATCTCAGTGAGAGAAGGCAAGTTGTACACATGGGATAGATGACACCATCTCAGTGAGAGAAGGCAAGTTGTACACATGGGATAGATGACACCATCTCAGTGAGAGAAGGGAGGCTATACATGTGGGATAGAGAAGAGAGAAGTTGGCTATACACATGGGATAGATGACACCATCTCAGTGAGAGAAGGCAGGCTTGTACACATGGGATAGATGACACCATCTCAGTGAGAAGGCAGGCTATACACATGGGATAGACGTCACCATGTCAGTGAGTGAAGGCAGGCTATACACATGGGATAGACTGTCACCGTCTCAGTGAGAGAAGGCAGGCTATACACATGGCTAGATGACACCTGTGAGAGAGACGTCACATGGGATAGTCAGTGAGAGAGAAGGCAGGCTATACACATGGGATAGATGACACCATCTCAGTGAGAGAAGGCAGGCTATACATGTGGGATAGATGACACCATCTCAGAGAGAGAAGGCAGGCTATACACATGGGATAGATGACACCATCTCAGTGAGAGAAGGCAGGCTATACACATGGGATAGATGACACCATCTCAGTGAGAGAAGGCAGGCTATACACATGGGATAAATGACACCATCTCAGAGAGAGAAGGCAGGCTATACATGTGGGATAGATTACACCATCTCAGTGAGAGAAGGCAGGCTATACATGTGGGATAGATTACACCATCTCAGTGAGAGAAGGCAGGCTATACACATGGGATAGATTACACCATCTCAGTGAGAGAAGGCAGGCTATACATGTGGGATAGATGACACCATCTCAGTGAGAGAAGGCAAGCTGTATATGTGGGATAGGCAACACTCTCAGTGAGAGAAGGCAAGCTGTATATATGGGATAGGCAACACTCTCAGTGAGAGAAGGCAAGCTGTATATGTGGGATAGATGACACTCTCTCAGTCAAAGAAGGCAAGCTGTACACCTGGGATAGACGTCACTGTCCGTGAGTGAAGGCGGGCTGTACACCTGGGATAGACGTCACTGTCCGTGAGTGAAGGCAAGCTGTACACCTGGAATAGACGTCACTGTCCGTGAGTGAAGGCAGGATGTACGCCTGGGATAGACGTCACTGTCAGTGAGTGAAGGCAGGCTGTACACCTGTAATAGACGTCGCTGTCAGTAAGTGAAGGCAGGCTGTATACCTGTGATAGACGTCACTGTCAGTGAGTGAAGGCAGGCTGTACACCTGTGATAGACGTCACTGTCAGTGAGTGAAGGCAGGCTGTACACCTGTGATAGACGTCACTGTCAGTGAGTGAAGGCAGGCTGTACACCTGGGATAGACGTCACTGTGAGTGAAGGCAAGCTGTACACCTGGGATAGACGTCACTGTCCGTGAGTGAAGGCGGGCAGTACACCTTTGATAGAACAGTCTCAATTAGCGAACTTTATTTTTAAGAAAGAAGGCAAACTGTACATTTGGGATAGATGACACCATCTCAGCAAAAGATGGCAGGCTGTACACATGGGGTAGTATGTGTATGCAATAATCTCCACTATTACTGTTGAAGATGTACATTGAGAGGTGAGAATTAGGTGGCAAACAGCCGTGTTTTAAACACAATGGAGTCCTGTTTGGTGGAACTATTGACACATGTAGCAGTCATTTTCATGTAGCAGTCAATGTCTGATGGAACTGTTGACACATGTAGCAGAGCTCATGTCTGTTGGAACTGATGACACATGGAGCAGTCATTTTCTAAGGAACTGCTGACTCATGGAGAATAGTCAGTGTCTGATGGAACTGTTGACTCATGAAGAATAGTCAGTGTCTGATGGAACAACTGACTCATGAAGAATAGTCAGTGTCTGATGGAACTGTTCACACATGGAGCATAGTCAGTGCCTGATGGAACTGTTGACACATGGAGCATAGTCAGTGCCTGATGGAACTGCTGACACATGGAGCATAGTCAGTGCCTGATGGAACTGCTGACACATGGAGCATAGTCAGTGTCTGATGGAACTGTTGACACATGGAGCATAGTCAGTGTCTGATGGAACTGTTGACACATGGAGCATAGTCAGTGCCTGATGGAACTGTTGACACATGGAGCATAGTCAGTGCCTGATGGAACTGTTGACACATGGAGCAGAGTCAGTGCCTGATGGAACTGTTGACACATGGAGCAGAGTCAGTGTCTGATGGAACTGTTGACACATGGAGCATAGTCAGTGCCTGATGGAACTGTTGACACATGGAGCAGAGTCAGTATCTGATGGAACTGTTGACTCATGAAGCATAGATAGTGCCTGAAGGAACTGCTGACACATGGAGCAGAGTCAGTGTCTGATGGAACTGTTGACACGTGGAGCAGAGTCAGTGTCTGATGGAACTGTTGACACATGGAGCAGAGTACATGTTTGATGGAACTGTTGACACATGGAGCAGAGTCAGTGCCTGATGGAACTGTTGACACATGGAGCAGAGTACATGTTTGAAGGAACTGTTGACACATGGAGCAGAGTACATGTTTGATGGAACTGTTGACACATAGAGCAGAGTCCATGTTTGTGAACATTGTTCTCAAGGTTGATAGTGACAAGAAGCTCTGGGACGGTCCACACTTACCAACCCCATACATTTGATAGCCTGAGCTCATCAATATATAATTTGCACATATCATTTCAAAATGGCCACAGCAGCCATATTTGCATCTGTTGGTCTCATCCTGTCTACAGCTGCCATATTTACATTTGTTGGTCTCATCCTGTCTACAGCTGTCATATTTACATCTGTTGGTCTCATCCTGTCTACAGCTGCCGTATTTACATCTGTTGGTCTCATCCTGTCTACAGCTGTCGTGTTTACATCTGTTGGTCTCATCCTGTCTACAGTTGTCCATTTTACATCTGTGGGTCTCATCCTGTTTACAGCTGTCATGTTTATACGCCTCTGGGTCTGATCCTCTCTACAGCTGTCATGTTTACATCTGTGGGTCTGATCCTCTCTACAGCTGTCATGTTTACATCTGTGGGTTTGATCCTCTCTACAGCTGTCATGTTTACATCTGTGGGTCTGATCCTCTCTACAGGGTCATGATTTACATCTGTGGGTCTGATCCACTCTACAGCTGTCATGTTTACATCTGTGGGTCTGATCCTGGCTGTCATGTTTACATCTGTGGGTCTGATCCTCTCTACAGCTGTCATGTTTACATCTGTGGGTCTGATCCTGTCTACAGCTGTCATGTTTACATCTGTGGGTCTGATCCTCTCTACAGCTGTCATGTTTACATCTGTGGGTCTGATCCTGTCTACAGCTGTCATGTTTACATCTGTGGGTCTGATCCTCTCTACAGCTGTCATGTTTACATCTGTGGGTCTGATCCTCTCTACAGCTGTCATGTTTACATCTGTGGGTCTGATCCTGTCTACAGCTGTCATGTTTACATCTGTGGGTCTGATCCTGTCTACAGGTGTCATGTTTACATCTGTGGGTCTGATCCTCTCTACAGCTGTCATGTTTACATCTGTGGGTCTGATCCTCTCTACAGCTGTCATGTTTACATCTGTGGGTCTGATCCTCTCTACAGCTGTCATGTTTACATCTGTGGGTTTGATCCTGTCTACAGCTGTCATGTTTACATCTGTGGGTTTGATCCTCTCTGTCACAGCTGTCATACAGGTGTCATGTTTACATCTGTGGGTCTGATCCTGTCTACAGCTGTCATGTTTACATCTGTGGGTCTGATCCTGTCTACAGCTGTCATGTTTACATCTGTGGGTCTGATCCTGTCTACAGCTGTCATGTTTACATCTGTGGGTCTGATCCTGTCTACAGCTGTCATGTTTACATCTGTGGGTCTGATCCTGTCTACAGCTGTCATGTTTACATCTGTGGGTTTGATCCTCTCTACAGCTGTCATATTGACATCTGTGGGTCTGATCCTGTCTACAGCTGTCATGTTTACATCTGTGGGTCTGATCCTGTCTACAGCTGTCATGTTTACATCTGTGGGTCTGATCCTGTCTACAGCTGTCTGTTTACATCTGTGGGTCTGATCCTCTCTATCCATCTGTGGGTCTGATCCTGTCTACATTGGTCATATTGACATCTGTGGGATCTGATCCTGTCTACATTGGTCATATTGACATCTGTGGGTCTGATCCTGTCTACATTGGTCATATTGACATCTGTGGGTCTGATCCTGTCTACAGCTGTCATGTTTACATCTGTGGGTCTGATCCTGTCTACAGCTGTCATGTTTACATCTCTGGGTCTGATCCTGTCTACAGCTGTCATGTTTACATCTGTGGGTCTGATCCTGTCTACAGCTGTCATGTTTACATCTGTGGGTCTGATCCTGTCTACAGCTGTCATGTTGACATCTGTAGGTCTGATCCTGTCTACATTGGTCATATTGACATCTCTGGGTCCGACCCTGATTGTCTGCACCTAAAAATCTTACCCCAGATTTGTTGATCATCTCTGCTGTCAGCATCATTAATCTTTCATCAATTTTGTTTTCCTCAGTAATTTGTTCCTCATTATCCTTCCATCTGTGATTTCTTCCTCATTAACCTTTCATCAGTGATTTCTTCCTCATTAACCTTTCATCAGTGATTTCTTCCTCATTAACCTTACATCCGTGATTTCTTCCTCATTAACCTTCTGTCAATGATTTTTTAAATTCATCCTATACAGAATCCCCAAAGAAGAAACAGAAGTCAGCAACAAAAAAGACAAGTCAAGGGAAGGTAAGTGTCATCATCTGGTAACCTTGAACCATAATGTTGGTTGATTACCTGGATACATTCATCCTATGTCTGGTAGTGTAACCTTGAGCCGTAGTGTTGGTTGATTACCTGGACACTTGGTTGATTACCTGGACACTTGGTTGATTACCTGGACACATTCATCTTATGTCTGGTAGTGTAACCTTGAGCCATAGTGTTGGTTGATTACCTGGACACTTGGTTGATTACCTGGACACTTAGTTGATTACCTGGACACATTCATCCTATGTCTGGTAGTGTAACCTTGAGCCATAGTGTTGGTTGATTACCTGGACACTTGGTTGATTACCTGAACACTTGGTTGATTACCTGGACACATTCATCTTATGTCTGGTAGTGTAACCTTGAGCCATAGTGTTGGTTGATTACCTGGACACATTCATCTTATGTCTGGTAGTGTAACCTTGAGCCGTAGTGTTGGTTGATTACCTGGACACATTCACCTGATATCTTGTAGTGAAAATCTGAGCATTAGTGTTAGTTCGATTACCTGGACACTTTCATCTTGTGTCTGGTAGTGTAACTGCCTTTCTCCCACACAGCTCTCGCACAGACTGCATGGCTCTCACACAGACTGCCTTGTCCATGATGCTTTCACACAGACTGCATTGCTATCATGCTGCTTTCACACAGACTGCGTTGCTGTCATACAGACTGCTTTGTTCTCACATTGCTGTCACACAGATGGCTTTTCTTCCACACTGCTGTCACACAGGCTGCCTTTCTTCCAATCTGCTCCCACTCAGACTGCCTTTTTTCCAATCTGCTCTCACACAGACTGCAGTTCTTCCACACTACTCTCACACAGGCTGCCTCTCTTCCAATCTGCTCTCACATAGACTATCTATCTTCAAATCTGCTCTCACATAGGCTGCCTCTCTTCCAGTCTGCTCTCACACAGACTACCTTTCTTCCAATCTGCTCTCACACAGACTGCCTTTCTTCCAATCTGCTCTCACACAGACTGCCGTTCTTCCACACTACTCTCACACAGGCTGCCTCTCTTCCAATCTGCTCTCACACAGACTGCCGTTCTTCCACACTACTCTCACACAGGCTGCCTCTCTTCCAATCTGCTCTCACATAGACTGCCTCTCTTCCAATCTGCTCTCACATAGACTGCCTCTCTTCCAATCTGCTCTCACATAGACTGTCTCTCTTCCAATCTGCTCGCACATAGACTGCCTCTCTTCCAGTCTGCTCTCACACAGACTGCCTCTCTTCCAATCTGCTCTCACACAGACTGCCTTTCTTCCAATCTGCTCTCACATAGACTGCCTTTCTTCCACACTACTCTCACACAGGCTGCCTTTTTCTCACACAGGTTGCCTTTCTTTCACACTTCTCTCTTTCTTCCATTCTCTCTCACACAAACTGTAAGTTGCACACTTCATTCACACACAACCTAGCAGTACACATACTCCCTCTGAGTGATGATGCAGCTGTATTGTTTGATGCAGGTTGGTCAGCTGGACATGTCCAATGTATCATTTGGAGCCACAGATAGTTCAGACACTTCCCTGCCAATCAACGTCACCTCACCTGTAGTCTCCCACACATTCCCAAGGCTGCAGCCTGGGATACCTGCAGCTGGTGCAGCACTGTTACACGCAACTCTAGGCACAGCTGGCTCACCGAGTCTCAGCCTGTCCAACAGTGCCGGCACATCTCCTGTCACAGCTGTAGGTGAGTAGATTCTAGTAACATGGCTTGGGTTACAGGTGTTGGGCAGTAGAACTGTGCCATATCTCTCTCTCTCTCTCTCTCTCTCTCTCTCTCTCTCTCTCTCTTCACTCTCTCTCTCTCTTCACTCTCTCTTCTCTCTCTCTCTCTCTCTCTCTCTCTCTCTCTCTCTCTCTCTCTCTCTCTCTCTCTCTCTCTCTCTCTCTCTCTCTCTCTCTCTCTCTCTCTCTCTCTCTGGTATGTTTCCTCCATCCAGGCATTGAGTATATGGTTCCTGTGGCCAAACGTTGAGTGTATTTTTGCCATCTTGATGAAAGTGAAGATATGGTATATGTCTTGAGTTCTTTGAGGAAGTTGAGGTTGAAAATGGTTGTTTCCTCTTTCAGGTAACATGGTGAATCGAAACGCCACACCTGTCCTACCTCCAAAGCAAGCAGCGCTCTTGGCCACACCCAGACCAGCTCCTAGACCTACAAGTGAGTCTTTCAAGTGGGACGCACGCGTGTACATATACATACATACATACACACACACACACACACACACACACACACACACACATATACATATATACATAGTCGGCTGTCCATGTCTCCTCTACCAACCTCTCCCCTATCATGTCCCAGTGTCTCTTCCAACCTCTCTCCCATCCTGTCTTGTGTCACTACCAACCTCTCTCCCATCCTGTCTTGTGTCACTACCAGCATCTCTCCCATCCTGTCTTGTGTCACTACCAGCATCTCTCCCATACTGTCTTGTGTCACTACCAGTATCTCTCCCATCCTGTCTTGTGTCACTACCAGTATCTCTCCCATCTTGTCTTGTGTCACTACCAGCCTGTCTCCCATCCTGTCTTGTGTCACTACCAGCATCTCTCCCATCCTGTCTTGTGTCACTACCAGCATCTCTCCCATCCTGTCTTGTGTCACTACCAGCATCTCTCCCATCCTGTCTTGTGTCACTACCAGTATCTCTCCCATCCTGTCTTGTGTCACTACCAGCATCTCTCCCATACTGTCTTGTGTCACTACCAGCATCTCTCCCATCCTGTCTTGTGTCACTACCAGCATCTCTCCCATCCTGTCTTGTGTCACTACCAGCATCTCTCCCATCCTGTCTTGTGTCACTACCAGTATCTCTCCCATCCTGTCTTGTGTCACTACCAGCATCTCTCCCATCCTGTCTTGTGTCACTACCACCCTGTCTCCCATACTGTCTTGTGTCACTACCAGCATCTCTCCCATCCTGTCTTGTGTCACTACCACCCTGTCTCCCATACTGTCTTGTGTCACTACCAGCTTCTCTACTATCTTGTTCTTCATCACTCATCCCTCTCCCTTCCTATTGACTTTTACTCTCCAAACTCTTCCTTTTCTTCTTCTTTAACATACACATCTTGGGGGGGGGGGGGGGGGGGGGGAGACAGTACAATTTTCTTATTTACAGAGCTTGTTAGCCATAAATGCTATAATTTAGAACTGTTACACACAGTTGTAACACTTTGCCGATCGCCAAATTTCCGGCCATATCCCATGGTGACCAACTTCGGCAATCGTTGAATTCGTGACATGTAGTCTCCTGCAGACATCTCTGCCGATAAGCTGAAAGAGCTGGATCTGGGTGTTCTTATTATTCCAAGATGGTTACGCCTACGAAACAATATCGCTATAGCTGATACAAGTGTTATTTTCAGTGAAATTTTTGGTACTAGCTCATTTTTATGTCTGATAATGGGAACCCAACCAGTAGTATTGTTTGTTCAGAATCTGCAAGTGAATTTAGCGCTGAAAACAATAGTTCCTGGAGAAGTAGAGATGAACCTGTGAATGTTATCCTCATTATGGCAACTGAAAGTAGCGACAGCGATGATAGACTTGATGGCAGACTTGCTGTAGGTGCATCTGGAGACAGAAGTGGGCTTGGCACAAGATTGCGTTTACACCTCTATACTTGATACCCCGTTTCAAGCTCTATCACACAATTGAGGATTATCAACATTCCCGGCAGAGACAGAGTTCACTAAGGACTGGAAAAATGTCATGGTTTTATAACGAATCCTGAAATTTCTATAAAAGCCAAATAAATTCAAGATCGCTGAAATGATCATGTGACATATTTTCATAATATACCTTTTTTTTATTCCCCATGTGTAGCAACTATTTGTAATGGTGCTGTGAAGGTTTCAAAACTGTTTTTTTTTTTAAATTATTTATTATTTATGAATTTTATAAGAAAACTAGTTATTAAAAAAAAAAAAAAACGCCCTTGGTAATGGGAGACAGTAATGGCCTGGATTACTGGTCAGGAGTGTGTTAAAACTAGAGTTGTTTGTGGCAGCCAACACACTGTGATACTACACGGATGAGGGATATATTAGCAGTACTTTAATAGTCTATTGATACTGGACAGGAACAGTTTCTGTTAGAAGTATTTTATAGACTTATGTTACGAGACAGGAAATTTTTTATGTTAGCAGTGTTTTGTAGACTTACGTTACGAGACAGGAAAAGTGAAAAGTGGTTTTTTTTGTTGATGTTAGTTAGCAGTGTTTTGTAGACTTACGTTACGAGACAGGAAAAGTGTCTGTTAGAAGTATTTTATAGACTTATGTTACGAGACAGGTGAAGTTTATGTTAGCAGTACTTTATATGTTACGAGACAGGACAAGTTTATTTATGTTATCCGTACTTGATAGACTTATGTTACCAGACAGGTGAGTTTATGTTATCAGTACTTGATAGACTAATGTTACCAGACAGGTGAGTTTATGTTATCAGTACTTGATAGACTAATGTTAGCAGACAGGTGAGTTTATATCAGCAGTGATGGTGACTCTACTTGCACATGTCCTCAGTTCCTGTGAGTAGTAGCCCAGTGCCTGGTACTCTTGACCGCAGATTTCCACTGATACCAGGACCTGAAGGCACTCCTGCCACCAGTTTACCTGGACGCAGACCTTCCAAGGAAGCTCAACCCCAGCAGATGTCACAGCAGATCCCACCAAGAATAGGTTCCGTGTTCCTGGGTTCTACTTCACAGAAACTAGACGATCACCTTCCATTTTCTCTCAGTGATGAGGACTCCAGTTCCTCTCCTCATCCCCCAAAGCCTATGTCATCAGTGCCGCCGGCACCACCTGGGGCCACAATGTGTAAGATGTTTTTTTTTTTAAATTGGCAAACCTGCTGTCATATGTTAGCTACTCAACCTTATACATTATATGTCTGCAAGCAAACCTGCTGTCATATGTCCGCTACTCAACCTTATACATCATATGTTTGCAAGCAAACCTCCTGTCATGTGTCTGCTACTCAACCTTATACATTATATGTCAGCAAGCAAACCTGCTCTCATGTGTCAGCTACTCAACCTTATACATTATATGTCTGCAAGCAAACCTGCTGTCATATGTCAGCTACTCAACCTTATACATTATATGTCTGCAAGCAAACCTGCTGTCATGTGTCAGCTACTCAACCTTATATATTATATGTCTGCAAGCAAACCTGCTGTCATATGTCAGCTACTCAACCTTATACATTATATGTCTGCAAGCAAACCTGCTCTCATGTGTCAGCTACTCAACCTTATACATTATATGTCTGCAAGCAAACCTGCTGTCATGTGTCAGCTACTCAACCTTATACATTTTATGTCTGCAAGCAAACCTGCTGTCATGTGTCAGCTACTCAACCTTATATATTATATGTCTGCAAGCAAACCTGCTCTCATGTGTCAGCTACTGAACCTTATACATTATATGTCTGCAAGCAAACCTGCTGTCACGTGACCGCTACTCAACCTTATACATTATATGTCTGCAAGCAAACCTGCTGTCATGTGTCTGCTACTCAACCTTATGCATTATATGTCTGCAAGCAAACCATTAATTATCATTGTCTTTGCCAGCAAACTTTCTACTATCAGTGTCTATTTGCAAAGCTCCTATTGTCGCTTGTCAGCTAGTAAACCTTTTACTGTCACGTTTCAGCTAGCAGACCTCCTACTGTCACGTTTACCAGTAGATAGTTCACTGTCATAATTCAGCTAGCAAACTAATGTCAGCTGCCAGACCTTGTGCTGCAATGTTTGAGTGTGTGTTGGAAGTATTCAACGTGCACAGAGAAGTGTTTTAACACTTTGCTAACTTGGCCGATTTACCAATTTCCAGTCATATCCCCTGGTGACCAAATTCGCCGATCTGCAAATTCTTGACATGTAGCTTGCAAACAGACGACCTTATCGAAAGTTTTTGAATTGAACTTCATTCTGGTATTTTTATTATTCTAAAATGGCTACGCCCACAATCGATATGGCTTTGAGACAAAATAAGTGTTGTTTTCGGTACACTTTTGATAATTTTTGTTACCAACGCATATTCAGCCTTTTTGTCTTGCATATTTGTGATGACGAAAACCAGACTAGTAGAATTATGATTTGGAATCTGCCAGCGAATTTGGCGCTGAAAACGATAGTTCCTGGATAAGTAGAGATTTACATGTGAATGTTATGATCATAGTGCAGCTGTAAGTAGCGACAACGATGATTGACTTGAAGTTGGAGTTGATGTAGGTACATTTGAACAAAGAAGTGGGTGTGGCACAAGAAAGAACATTTCTACAGCTAAAAATGCTGTTTGTAAATGGAATAAGGCTGCTCAGAATAAAGCTTGACAATCTTCCTCCATACAAAGAACAACAAAGTGCCATGTCAGACACAATTGGGTGTGTGCTAACTGATTTTTTGAAGAAAAAGCAATTGAAACTGAAAAAGGCAGATCATCCTGCTTTTTGTGACAAAGAAAAGCATGTTGGCCATTACATGGTGTGACACTAAGAGAGTACACACCTGGTATCTACTGTTTACTCCAATGATGTTATGGACATGACGAGAAAAGTGGAATTCTTGAGGGCAGAATAATAAAGCCAGTTCGTACAGAAAAATATAACAGTATGGGGCGTGTCGATCACTTCGGCCAGCTGGGTACGAAATACCCCTACCCACCTAGATCATATAAATGGTACCTGCCATTATATTATTTTGTTGGTGTTGTTGGTGCGATGTAAATGCTGCGTAGATAGAAAATGCCTTGTTTCAGTAAACTCCACTTAGCTGATCAACATAAGAAATCTCCAAGTCTACAATTGGCAAATGCTTGTAAGCAAAGACAGGCCTATGAGAACGTCATGAACATTACAGAAAATGTAGATTGTGACACAGCAGCTGACATGCTTGGACCTGGAACTTTGGCAGTCAGTGTTTCTCTCCGATGTTTTATGGTGTTTTAGCTCTGTTGAACTGTGCCAATGACTGTGGCTTAGACTTTGGAATTCTGTCAGTATGATTTTCTAGAATGGATGGTTGGGAGGCCTATGTGTGTATGCGGTCGGTACAATTGTAACCTATGCCAGATTTGACCATAAGTAGCTTTATGGCAGTTAATGAAACAGTTAAAGGACATGTAACTTATGCCAGATGTGACCATAAGTAGCTTTATGGCAGTTAATGGAACAGTTAAAGGACATGTAACTTATGCCAGATGTGACCATAAGTAGCTTTATGACAGTTAATGGAACAGTGAAAGGACATGTAACTTATGCCAGATGTGACCATAAGTAGCTTTATGACAGTTAATGGAACAGTGAAAGGACATGTAACTTATGCCAGATGTGACGATAAGTAGCTTTATGGCAGAGGACATGTAACCTATGCCAGATGTGACGATAAGTAGCTTTATGACAGTTAATGGAACAGTTAAAGGATATGTAACTTATGCCAGATGTGACCATAAGTAGCTTTATGGCAGTTAGTGGAAGAGTTAGAGGGCATGTAACCTATGCCAGATGTGACGATAAGTAGCTTTATGGCAGTTAGTTGAACAGTTAGAGGACATGCCAGATGTGACGATAAGTAGCTTTATGGCAGTTAATGGAACAGTTAGAGGACATGTAACCTATGCCAGATGTCGTGTGTTGTTTAGATTGTGCCACCTTGAGACCAGCGTCGGATCTGACTGTTGTTTGTTGTCTTGCAGCTGCCAGTGGTGTCGGTATTGCTTATGGCACAGTGCCCAGTCATCTCAACAATTCCATGAAATCCAACGATGTGGAAAACAAGACTCCGCCTGTACACCCATCCTCTCAACCCACAGGCAAGGTCAGTGTGTATAGCCACAGGCCTGGCACCATGCTGGGGGGGGGGGGGGGGGACCTGACTTAATTCGACCCTTGTAAATATTCGTCTTTCACACAGCAGTTGTCTCATGTGTAATGCCTGTTCAGTTTATACAGCAATAAGCATAAAATGACACTAAGTACAAACAAAAAAAAGCATGTAAATACTAGAACCTACCTGCCTCCCTGACTACATCACACATACCTACCAGTGTACATACATGCAGTGGAACATGTATGGAATAGAACGTACATGTGTATATACATATGGTCGGCACACAGCTACACTCTAGTATTCCACATGGACACAGATATTATCAGACGGGCATAGGCGCCCCCCCCCCCCCCCCCTCCCCTCACTCCACACAGACACACACACACACACAGAGGGGTAGACAACCATCTCACAGATGGAGGATATCCAAATAAAGATCACAACTGTGACCTGTCCTCTACTGGTCCTTATGTAACAGTTGTTGTCTGTCCTCTACTGGTCCTTGTGTAACAGTTGTTGTCTGTCCTCTACTGGTGCTTGTGTAACAGTTGTTGTTTGCCTTCTACTTGTCCTTGTGTAAATATTATCATTTTTTAACCGCTCCTTATGTGTCATATGTAGCTATTGTTGTCTTGTAAATGTTGACACATGGAAAACAGTGGTTGCTCTGTCCTGTATAACAGGGCAGTGTGTGAACAGTTGTTGTCTGTCCTCTAATTGAACAGTGCTCAGTCATTTGTAACAGTTGCTGTTGTTTGCCTGTTACTGGTCAAATGTGTAACACTGCTCAGTCTTTGTAACAATCTACTGTCCTTGTGTAACAGTTGTTGTCTGTCCTCTACTGGTCCTTGTGTAACAGTTGTAACCTGTCCTCTACTTTTGATTGTTGTAACAGTTGTTGTCTGTCCTCTACTGCTCAGTGTAACAGTTGTATGTCAGTCCTCTACTGGTCCTTATGTAAATCAGTGAGTTGTCTGTCCTCTACTGGTCCGTGTCTGACATCTTGTCTTGTCTGTCACTACTGGTGCTTGTCACACCAGTTGTTGTTTGCCTCACATACTTGTCCTTTTACAACACTTGTTTATCTGTCCTCTATGTACAGTACCCTAGTTATCACATCTGTCTATTTACAGTCCTCTACTGTTCACATTGTCTACAATAGTTGGTTGTCATGTCCTTGTACAGGTCCTGGTGTATCAACCAATCTATGTAGTCTAGTTATCACATCTACTATATAGTCACCTGGTGTAACAGTTTTTGTCTGTCAGTCTCTACTGGTCACTCTGTGTATGTACAGCCACCTAGTCTGTCAAATCTATCTATGTCAGTCACCTATGTAACAGTTGTCGTTTGTCCTTTACTGGCGCACCATTACTGTAAGGACATTTGTCACAAATCCTCTACTGGTCCTCTGTGACAGGAGTGTTTTGAATGGTCCTCTCGTGGTCTTTGGCCTAACAGTCGTTGTCAAACTTTCCTCTACTGTCCAGGGATGAGGTAACAGTTGTTGTCTGTCTCTACTGGTTATTGTGTAACAGTTGTTGTTGCCTCTCGGCTGGACCTTGTGTAACACTTGTTGTCTGTCCTCTACTGGTCCTTGTTAACAGCTGTTGTCTGTCCTCTACAGCGAATTGTGTAACAGTTGCCTGTTCTGAATAAGGCACTGGTCCTTGTGTAAAACGAAAACTTTGCTGCTTCTAGAAGACTGGTCCTTCTGTAACATTAATGTTGTAACTTCACCTCTACAAAGTTAACTTGTGTAACAGATTCAAAAGGAAAGTCTATCTTTACTGGTCCTTGTGTAACAGTTGTTGTCTGTTTCTACATGGTCCTTGTGTAACACTTGTTGGATCATCATGGCCTCTACTGGCCCCTTTGTGTCGAGCCAGTTCAGTTATTACTGTCCTATCTATTGGATCTCATGCTGTCAGGACAGTTGTTGTCTGTCCACTACTGTCCTTTACAACAGTTGTTGTCTGTCGAAGCAGCTGGTCCTTATGCCGGAACAGGAGTTTCTCACGTCCTCTACTGGTCCTTGTGTAACAGTTGTTGTCTGTCCTCTACTGGTCCTTGTGTAACATTTGTTGTTTGCCTTCTACTGGTCCTTGTGTAACAGTTGTTGTTTGCCTTCTACTGGTCCTTATGTAACAGTTGTTGTCTGTCCTCTACTGGTCCTTATGTAGCAGTTGTTGTCTGTCCTCTACTGGTCCTTGTGTAACAGTTGTTGTTTGCCTTCTACTGGTCCTTTTGTAACATTTGTTGTCGTCTGTCTTCTACTTGGGTAACAGTTGTTGTTGTCTGCCTTCTACTTGTCCTTGTGTAACATTTGTTGCCATCTGCCTTCTACTTGTCCTTGTGTAAATATTATCACAAAAACACTGCCCAACTATGCAGTTAGCGTAGCTATTCCCGTCTTGTAAATGTTGACACATGGAGAACAAGTGGAACAATGCTCAGTTGTGTATAACAGTGCGGTTGTGTGAATGTTGACACATGGAGGACAAATTGAACAGTGCTCAGTCATTTGTAACAGTGCTGTTGTGTGAATGTTAACAGATGAACAAATTGAACAATGCTCAGTCATTTGTAACAATGCTTTTGTGTGAGTGTTAACAGATGAACAGGTTGAGCAATGCTTAGTCATATGTAACACTGCTATTTTTTTAATGTTGACAGATGGAGAACAAGTTGAACAATGCTCAGTCATGGAACTCTATCACAGCCAGCTTCCAGCATTTTAAGAAAATCAGTGAGATGAAGACACAAAATGTAAGTGCCTGTCTGACATCTGTCTTGTCTGTCACATAATTGTCACACCACTCACACCTGGTTATCACATCTTGTCTATTTACAGTCACCTGATTATCTTACATCTATTAAAAATGCTAAAGTTTCCCTAGTTATCATAAACTGACAATCTATTGTGTACAGTCACTTGTTATCACATATGAGAACACATTTCAATCATAAAAATTGCTACTCTTGTTTTACATCACTGTACATGGGTTCAAAAACCAATCTATGTAGTCACTTAGTTATCACATCTGCCTATATAGTCATCTAGTTGTCACATCTGTCTATGTACAGCCACCTAGTTTTCAAATCTATCTATGTACAGTCACCTAGTTGTCACATCCCCCCCCCCCCCCATGACCTGTACAATTTTAAGTTTCCATTAAGGCTACAATGTTTAATTTCACAATCACATTGGCGGCCAGGTAATTGTTGATTTCTTGTATTTATTGCAACAATCAGTAAAAGTTAACTTTTGCTGGAGTAATGTCCCTTTGAATATCTTTCCTCTTTCCTCCCTTAGATTTATTTATTTATAAATTACATTCTGTTATCTCTTTGAAACATAAACTGTGTTAGTGGATATTGTTGCTTTGTCTATCTGGCTTGAGGGACTGCCAACACGCCAAATTTTAACACAAAGTAATGCCCTGAGTCACTCCAAAGGGGCACTATGATGGTTGGTAGCGCTAACTGGGAAGAACAGGTCTAGGATGCTCCTGCTACTCCATCTCAAGCCGTAAATCACCTGCCAGCTCCCACACCCTGTAAACACTTTTTTGCTACAGAATCACCTGATGTGCATTCAATTGGGATGTTTGGCGGGATTAGGAAATGAAGGCATGCAAGAGTAACTAAAAGTTAGAAGACACATGCTAGCTCCGCCGTAGAGATAAGAATAAAACTCATTATCCTGAGCAAAGTGTACAATTAAATTTAATTCTGATATTTTTGCATTTTTTCACAAAATTGAGTAGCCTCTTTAAAAAAAAAAAAAAATTGTGTAATTTTGTTGTACACCATCATAATATGGTTGTTGATTGGTGCACACAAAAAAGGGTGAACACGATTGTTTTCTTTCTGACAGCAATATAGACTATGAAATACGCCAAAACTAGACAACTATTATATAAATATCTTGGACAAAAAATATGAGAAATATTGTCATCTTAAAAGATCTGAACATCAAGGAAGATTGGCTAAAAAACAGCATCCTTTCTCGAAAGCTGAAATATTTTGGTCATATCAAGCGCCACGACGGATTGGAAAAAATTATAGCAAAAGGCATGGTACCAGGAAGGAGGGGCAGGGGCCAACCGACACGAAGATGGGCACAGGATATAAGTGACTCCTTGAGTGTGAAAGTTCATGAGGCGCGAGAACTGGCAAGAGACCAAGTTGCTTACAGGCAGACTGTGATGAGAGCGACGTTTTGCAAAGGACCTGCTACATGATGATGATAAGACAACTATTTAACATACTGGTAAAATTATGCATTTTTGTGTCAAATTGAATAGAGCACAAATTTCAGGAAGGAAAAAATTCCTTCATCTTGTTTTAACATTGTCATCACGTGGCTGTACATTGGTGCCAAAACAATGCAAAAAAAAAAACAGACCATCTTCGACACCACCAATAGAGTAGTGTAATTTTGGCTAGAATAATACTGGATGAGAGCTCTGCCTAACTGAAGAACATCTGTTACACTGAAGTGTCAAACTCAAAACAAAACAAATTTCATGAGATGTTTTCAAAGTCATCATCTTTTCCCAGTTCTAAGTGAATTCATTCAATAAAATGTTGGGGACATGGTTAGCAATAACAAAAAATCATCTAAATAGGAGCAGTTTTGTAACAGTTGACTTCATATTTCATCATTAAAAGAGAATAAAATGTGAATTTATTTTTTCTTGTTTTTTTTGTGTGTGTGTGTGTGTGTGGTCATATTACAATGAGCATTTGTGAAGGCTAAAAAAGCACTTCCAGTTGAGGCCTGAGCTACATACCTTTATATTTTGTCATATAAAACAGGATGATCTGCCTTTTTTTTTTTTTTTTTTTTTTAAATTTTCAGTAAATTGGCACCCACCCACTTGTGTCATCAAGTCATCATTGTAGCTACTTTCAGTTGTGATATGATGATAACATTCACAGTGAAATCTCTACTTATCTCGAAATTATCATTTTTAGAGCTATATTCGCTGGCAGATTCTGAATCATCCATATTGCTATTCTGATTTTCACTATCAGACATGATAAAAAGGCTGAAAATGCGCTGCTAACAAGAATTATAAAAATTTCACCGAGCACAACACTTGTATCGGCTCAGAGCAATATCGATCATAGGCGCAGCCATCTTGGAATAATATACACATCAGAGCAAAGCTCAGTTTGAAAAACTGGATAAGGCTGTCAGTTTGCAGCCTACATGTCACAAATTGGCAGATCGGCAAATTTGGTTACCAAAAGATGTGACCATAAATTAGCGGGTTGTCGAGGTTGGTCAACAGAGTGTTCAATAAATATTCAGAAATAAATGGACTAATGGCTTTAACTACATTTATCGCAATTTTAGCATGGCAGCGAGTATCTAAAGCTACCACTGCAAGGGGTGCAATCATCGTAAAAAGGCGTCAACTTTGGTGGATTCACAGAATGTGTAACTATAGTTTTCACTGGGCTAACTGATATTAATATTTAATATGTCATTATCAGTTGTTTCTTGAAATTCAGTTTTGTTTTTAAACTTTCTCAACTTGACATTTAAGAATCTCTGGAGAAACATGTTTATTCTCTGGTGAACTGTTTGATGACATTGCAGAAATGGACCTGTGGTGTTTGTAGTACCAGGTTATTCTTCTGATTCTTGTCTTGCAGTAGTAACAGACTGACCAGAGACTGTGGACGTGTGTGTGAGAGAGAGACTGACCACCTGGACATGTGTGTGAGAGAGAGACTGACTGACTGTTTGCTGCTTGGTGCTAATCACTTCCCATTTTAAAATGTGCAGGAAGTTTTTCTGAAAAAGGCTGAAGAGCAGAAACAGAAGTTGGCCAAAGAAAGACAGAGGATGGAGGAGGAGAAGAAACGGTAAGGAAACTTTTATCAGAGTAAATGCAAGGCTTGGAGTTTATTTGTTGTTCTGTGCTGGGCACAGTCATTTTATGAAGGCTGGGGGTGTGTTTTAGTGCTGTGTGATGTGAGGCTGCTGTATGGAGGGCCGGGTGTTTTTGTGCTGTGTGATGGGTCACTTGTATGTGAGGCTGCTGTATGGACAGGTGTTTTAGTGCTGTGTGATGGGTCACTTGTATGTGAGGCTGCTGTATGGAGGGCAGGTGTTTTAGTGCTGTGTGATGTGAGGCTGCTGTATGGTGGGCCGGGTGTTTTAGTGCTGTTTGATGTGAGGCTGCTGTATGGACAGGTGTTTTAGTGCTGTGTGATGGGTCACTTGTATGTGAGGCTGCTGTATCGACAAGTGCTGTGTGATGGGTCACTTGTATTTGAGGCTGCTGTATAGAGGGCCAGTTGTTTTAGTGCTGTGTGATGGGTCGCTTGTATGTGAGCCTGCTGTATCGACAGGTATTTTAGTGCTGTGTGATGGGTCGCTTGTATCTGATGGACAGGTGTTTTAGTGTGATGCTTGTATGAGGCTGTTGTATGGAGGGCGCTTGTATGGGTCGCTCATGTGAGCCTGCTGTATGGAGGGCCAGGTGTTTTAGTGCTGTGTGATGTGTCGCTTGTATGTGAGCCTGCTGTATGACAGGTGTTTTTAGTGTGTGATGGGTCGTTGCTGTGTGCTGTATGGGGGCCAGCTTTTAGTGTGAGCCTGCGAGCCTGCTGTATAGATAGAGTTTGTGCTTTGTGCAACGCTCTCTGCGGTTAACCTTTGTATGGAGACAGACTGAGCCATATGGGATAAAACCCAGTGCAGTAAAGTCGATCCTCTCAAACTGAAGCTCTATTTTTTTCCTGGCCGGTATCTACCCAGACCATCTGGCAGCTGTTTTCTTCCCCAAAATATCTAGTTTAACAGCAGTAACTTTCTCCATTATCTAGCCAAAAAAAATTTTCTGTGTTAAATCTTTAAACCACTGAGTCTCAATTGCTCTGTGCCTGATTGTGAAAGGGAGATTTTATACTAGCTATGCACCAAATCCTGGTGTACTAGCACTGTTGTGATGCTCCTTTTTGTAGTGAATGTCTCTCTGTTACCAGCCGAAGATGGTCTCACATGCACAAAACATGCACCAGTGATTCTTGTTGGGTTTGGCATATTGTCTGACGGCTGTATATTTGATTAACAGGGAAAGAGAAGAGGAAGAGGCCATTGAAGCTGCTCGAAAAAGGAAAATGGAAGAAGACAAAGCAGAGGAAGAGAAGAAAAAGCGAGACAGAATAGAACAGATGAGGAGAGCTGCCCAGATGAGAAGAGAAGCAGTAAGTATTTTTTGTTCCAGTTATACCCACAGTTGACATTGTGTGTGGGAGACGGAGATGTGTGTGTGTGTAAATTGTCTTGGTGAGTGGCAGTGTGTTGGTTCATGGTCAGACCTGAATGTTGCAGGTGTTGCTGGGTAACTCTGATCCGAGTGGCTGATCCACAGTGCAGGTGGTGTGGCGGTGTGGTTAGTCCAAGTCTCCAAGCCTGTGGGTGATGTTGCTGGTCCAGGCATGAAAGTGGTGTGGTTAGTCCAAGTGTCCAAGCCTATGAGTGGTGTGGTTGTTCAAGTGTCCAAGCCAATGAGTGGTGTGGTTGTTCAAGTGTCCAAGACTATGAGTTGTATGGTTGTTCAAGTGTCCAAGCCTATGAGTGGTATGGTTGTTCCAAGTGTCAAGTCATGTGGGTGGTGTGGTTGTTCCAAGTGTCAGTCATATGGGTGGTGTGGTTGTTCCAAGTGTCAGTCATGTGGGTGGTGTGGTTGTTCCAAGTGTCCAAGCCTATGAGTGGTGTGGTTGTTCCAAGTGTCAGTCATGTGGGTGGTGTGGTTGGTCCAAGTGTCCAGGCTTGTGGGTGGTGTGGTTGTTCCAAGTGTCCAAGCCTATGAGTGGTGTGGTTGTTCCAAGTGTTAGTCATGTGGGTGGTGTGGTTGGTCCAAGTGTCCAGGCTTGTTGGTGGTGTGGTTGGTCCAAGTGTCAGTGGTGTGGTTGGTCCAAGTGTCCAGGCTTGTTGGTGGTGTGGTTGGTCCAAGTGTCAGTCGTGTGGTTGGTCCAAGTGTCCAGGCTGGTGGGTGGTGTGGTTGGTCCAAGTGTCAGTCATGTGGGTGGTGTGGTTGTTCCAAGTGTCAGTCATGTGGGTGGTGTGGTTGGTCCAAGTGTCAGTCATGTGGGTGGTGTGGTTGGTCCAAGTGTCCAGGCTTGTGGTTGGTCCAAGTGTCAGTCGTGTGGTTGGTCCAAGTGTCCAGGCATGTGGGTGGTGTGGTTGTTTCAAGTGTCCAGGCATGTGGGTGGTGTGGTTGGTCCAAGTGTCCAGGCATGTGCGTTGTGTGGTTGGTCCAAGTGTCCAAGCCTATGAGTGGTGTGGGTGGTGGTGTTGTTTCAAGTGTCCAGGCTTGTGGGTGGTGTGGTTGTTCTGAGTGTCCAAGCCTGTGGGTGATGTTGCTGGTCCAGGCATGTAGAGGTGGTGTGGTTGGTCTAAGTGCCCAGTTATGTGGGTGGTGTGGCTTTCCCAAGTGTCCAGGCCTGTGAATGGTGTGGTTGGTCCAAGCCTGTGGGTGGTGTGGTTGTTTCAAGTGTCCAGGCCTATGAATGGTGTGGTTGTTCCAAGTGTCCAAGCCTGTGGGTGGTGTTGTTGGTCCATGTGTCCAGGCACTTGGGTGGTGTTGTTGGTCCAAGTGTCCAGGCATGTGGGTGGTGTTGTTGGTCCATGTGTCCAGGCACTTGGGTGGTGTTGTTGGTCCAAGTGTCCAGGCATGTGGGTGGTGTTGTTGGTCCAAGTGTCCAGGCACGTGGGTGGTGTTGTTGGTCCAAGTGTCGGTCATGTGGGTGGTGGTGTTGGTCCAAGTGTCGGTCATGTGGGTGGTGTTGTTGGTCCAAGTGTCCAGACATGTGGGTGGTGTTGTTGGGCCAAGTGTCCAGGCACGTGGGTGGTGTTGGTCTAAGTGTCCAAGCCTGTAGCTGGTTTAAGTGTCCAGGCACGTGTGTGGTGTTGTTGGTCCAAGTGTCCAGTCACGTGGGTGGTGTTTTTGGTCTAAGTGTCCAGGCACCTGAGTGGTGTTGTTGGTCCAAGTGTCCAGTCACGTGTGTGGTGTTGTTGGTCCAAGTGTCCAGGCATGTGGGTGGTGTTGTTGGTCCAAGTGTCCAAGCCTGTGGGTGGTGTTGTTGGTCCAAGTGTCCAGTCACGTGTGTGGTGTTGTTGGTCCAAGTGTCCAGTCACGTGTGTGGTGTTGTTGGTCCAAGTGTCCAGGCATGTGGGTGGTGTTGTTGGTTCAAGTGTCCAAGCCTGTGGGTGGTGTTGTTGGTCCAAGTGTCCAGTCACGTGTGTGGTGTTGTTGGTCCAAGTGTCCAGGCACGTGGGTGGTGTTTTGGTCCAAGTGTCCAGGCACCTGAGTGGTGTTGTTGGTCCAAGTGTCCAGGCACGTGTGTGGTGTTGTTGGTCCAAGTGTCCAGGCATGTGGGTGGTGTTGTTGGTCCAAGTGTCCAGGCACCTGAGTGGTGTTGTTGGTCCAAGTGTCCAGGCACGTGTGTGGTGTTGTTGGTCCAAGTGTCCAGGCATGTGGGTGGTGTTGTTGGTCCAAGTGTCCAGGCACGTGGGTGGTTTTGTTGGTCCAAGTGTCCATGCACGTGGGTGGTGTTTTTGGTCCAAGTGTCCAGGCGTGTGGGTAGTGTTGTTGGTCCAAGTGTCGGTCATGTGGGTGGTGGTGTTAGTCCAAGTGTCGGTCATGTGGGTGGTGTTGTTGGTCCAAGTGTCCAGGCGTGTGGGTGGTGTTGTTGGTCCAAGTGTCCAGGCACGTGGGTGGTTTTGTTGGTCCAAGTGTCCAAGCACGTGGGTGGTGTTGTTGGTCCAAGTGTCCAGGCATGTGGGTGGTGTTGTTGGTCCAAGTGTCCAGGCGTGTGGGTGGTGTTGTTGGTCCAAGTGTCGGTCATGTGGGTGGTGTTGTTGGTCCAAGTGTCCAGGCACGTGGGTGGTGTTGTTGGTCCAAGTGTCGGTCATGTGGGTGGTGTTGTTGGTCCAAGTGTCAGGCATGTGGGTGGTGTTTTTGGTCCAAGTGTCCAGGCACGTGGGTGGTGTTGTTGGTCCAAGTGTCGGTCATGTGGGTGGTGTTGTTGGTCCAAGTGTCCAGGCACGTGGGTGGTGTTGTGTGTCCAGGCACGTGGGTGGTCCAAGTGTCCAGGCACGTGGGTGGTCCTAGTTTCATTATTCTCACTTCCTGGCCTATTTTCTTGGTATCCTGCTTCCACCCCCCCCCCCCCCCCCAAGAGCCTGGGCCACCATCCTTGAGTGAAAGACAGAACTATTGCTAAGTGGACCACCATAGCTGTCACAGCTGCTGGCACACTTCATCAAACAACCTCTAGTCTGGTCCAGTGGTATCCAGAAAGCTGACCGTCCAGCAAGCAATGGCAAACTACTGGACGTAAATTGCCTAGAGAAACCACACAACAGCCAGGGGCTGTTGGGGTTGGTTCTGCAACGTCCTGTAAAGGATACGCAACTAACTTTCACTAGTCTGGTTATGTAACCTTTGATTAAGAATGAGATAAAATGCTCAGTATTTGGAAGTAAGCTAAAACAGTTACAATTCCTTGGGCGATCCCAGTACTAGAGCACTGTGATTGGCTCTGCATTTATGGAAGCCTCCTTGAATGGTGACGAATGCTCATTTTCTGCCTCTGCCTTCTCTTGAGAGCACACCAACATTATGTGGCTTTTCCGGACAGGCTTGATGTAGGTCACCACCTGTGACCAAGGAAAACAAGATGACCACACAACACTAAGACTGCAGTGTCCCACGAAACTAACTGTGTCTAGTGAATGTAATCAGTATATTTTTTTTTTGCTATTTGCAGACTGCTAACAGGATTGACATGAATGCACAGAATGATCTGATGGCTTCCTTTGAGGCCTCTTACCAAAACAGGGCCTGATGCTG